GGCTGTCTTTTTGCAATATTGGCAACATATTTTTTAATCATCTCTCGGGACGGTGGAGTACTACGCTCAGAGAGTTTTTCTATGTGCTGGACAAGGTATTTCTCTTGTTGTGGTGAGAGTAGTCGTCGTGGGTGTGCAGCGGCTGCACGCGACCACGTTTTGTTTTGGTGGCGACGCGTCAAAGTTGATGCCGCAACACCATATATTTTTGCAGCTGCACGGTACGAGATTTGTCCTTCTGGACCTTGCGAATTGATTGCCGCAAGCGCTTTTTCGATAGCTGTCATGGTGGTGGAGTTGTGGGGATTTGAAATTGGTGGGTTCTACTTTGGGAGATGCAGGGGGTGTTGCATTGTCTGACCCGTTGCACGCATTGACCACCCACACTACCTCCGTCTTAAGTCCGGCGATTAGTGGATTCACCCGACGGCCGCTGCCTTGCCCATCCTCTCCATTTCCGTCCCCTCAGCTCGACACACTGCCCCTCCCCTGGCTCACAGAGCGATCCTACTCCTGCTTTCAGTCGTACGCTGCCATGTCTGCGCTGGGCTCCGAATGGATCAGCGATAGGTCGCGTGAAGGCTCAGCAACGGGGTGCGACTCTCCCGAAGGCAACCATGGCCCGTCTCAGCAGCGCACGAGCAAGAAGCGCAAGGTCTTGTCGTGCTACGCGTGTCGCGATCGCAAGCTCAAGTGCGACCGCGTATTTCCAGTGTGTGGGCGATGTCAAAAGACAGGAAGACGAAACGAGTGCACCTACGACCCGCGCCTCTTGGAAGAATCGCATGTCAGCGCACAGGCTGATGGGGGCGCCCCCTGTATACTGGCCCAACGACCTGCAGACAGCAATGGCCCCACTGACACGCCTGATGCGTTGCGGGGGAAGATCGGAGCTCAAGAAAAACGCATTGCTATGCTAGAGCAGCAGCTGGCCCTGCAGCGCACCAGAAACTCGTCGCAGTACACAGACGTGGTGCTAGAAGAGCCAACCCTTGGCGAAGACATCATGTTTAGAGGAAAGGGCTTCAAGTCGATTTTCAACGGCCCCACGAGCATCATGGGCATCATCTCCTCGGTACCTCTCACAAGACATGAACTCTGTAGATGCTTCGCGTAGGCTGACTTGCTCGCAAGTACAATGAGCTGCAGGTTTTTACTCGCGAGGCTTTGAATGTAGATCACTCAATTATGCGCGTCAAAAACGACTTCAAAGCCTTCCGCGACCGCAGAAAGAAGGCTGCCAGAGAGCACCCCCTTGGCGGCGACGGCAGTGATGCCAACATATTTGCCGTACTCCCCGAGAAAAGCATCATCGACGCCCAAGCTACGCTGTACTTTCAGACGTGGGAAACCAGCTACAGAATTCTCCACGAACCGTCTTTCTGGGAAGAATACCGCGCTTTCTGGGAGGGCAGCGGGTCCGACAAGGAACGTGCCGCCTTCGCCGCAGTGCTTGTGTTGATCATCGTCGTCACCAAATGTCTCAAGCCGAAAGACGATACTTTTATTGGTGATACGACAGCCGACCGGCAAGCAGCAACCGATCTTATTGATGTCTGCGAAGTTTGGATAGATCGGCAGCCTCGCAGGCGCGTTACCTTGGCATTTTTCCAACTACGCTGTCTTTTGCTACTTGCCAAGCGCGTCAATTGTATTGGAATGAAGGAAGACTGGGTCGCTTCTGGAGAGCTCCTTCGTATTGCTCTCGTGTCTGGCATGCACCGCGATCCAGCTTTGCTAGACAACAGCAGCCTGTCGCCATTTGACGCTGAGATGAAGAAGCGTCTGTGGGCTACCACAATGGAGTTAGAATTGCAATCATCCATAGAGTCTGGCTTCCAGTCTGGCCTCACTGGCCTGCACTTCGACGCGCCAGCACCAGCCCATCTTGCAGACGAAGCCTTCTCTGCTGACACACAAGAACTGCCACCAGAGCAGCCAGAGGGGCAGTTTACGTCAACCTCGTACCTCAATATCAGCTTGAAGTCGCTGCCGCTTCGTGTTCATCTCACACAACTGTTGAATACATCGCTTGCAAACATGCAGTACGCTGATGTTTTGCATTGGGATGCGCAGATACAAGCTGCTATTTCCGCCTTGCCAGAATGGAGCAGTGAAAGCAATGCAGTGCCATATGCGCTTCTCCGCCTGCAGCTTCGACAGTATCTTCTTATATTGCACAGGCCCTGGGCACAGCTGGCTTCTAAGAACAGTCGTGTCATGTACTCCCTAACGACATGTGTCGACGCCTGCAACTCCATCATCAAGACACACGCTGACTTGCTTTCAAAGGGCATCTTGGCTCTCTCTAACCTTCGCAACGACACGGTTAGGGTTGGTCTGACGCTATCGCAAGTGGTGTTCCAGAACTGCACTCTCAACATGGTGGAGTCATCCATAGCCCCGCCCGGCAATTCTGACACTCAAATTGCTGATCCGCATGCTCATTTTGCGGACCTTAGCATGGTCAAGCCCCGGGGCTCGCTTGGTGGCACACTTTATTTCGCCACGCTACCGCACCAGTCGTTCCTCATCAAAATGCTATGTATATCGTCAATCGAGATTCTTGAGCGCACACGACAAATTTATGACCAAAAAATCTTCAGGCTCGGCGCAGGGTACATGGAGCACTGGTTAATGTCTGCTGCGGTTGGCATGCTGCCGCCCCCACCTTCACCCGCCACGTCCATCACTTACATCAACAATGGTAGTGACGACATACTTTCACGGTGTCGAAAATCACTCGACTGCTTCACGACAGTGGCATATAGGGTGCTATCTTTGCAGCAAGATCAAAGGGACGGCTTGGTCGTGTCTCTCCGCGATACAATGGCAAGCACTTCCCATTCAGAAGGCAGAACGCCGAGCACGAATGGTAGCGTCCTTGGTGCCCCGAATGGATATGGAGCGACTCCGGCAGCATATGAACATTCGAGTTTTGTTCAGCTCAACGGCACCAATGTAGGACTTGGCGATGAATCCGATCCCAAGGACATGAATGCAATGCTCGGTATGATGCCAAACATTCAGATTGAGGGCAATGGGTGGTCGTTTCCAGACTTTTGGGCCTTTGATCTCGGTGGCGAGTTTTGATGCATTTTAATGACGTGATTGGATGATGGAGCTACGTATAGTAATAATCAGCCCTTTATATAATGGTAGTTGTTGAGGATACATTCCCGTTGCACTTTGTTCGAATACGTCTTTTTATAAATCATGTGGTCCTGTATGATCTTGATTCAAAAAGCTTTCCTTCAACAAAAGAGTCCAGCTCACGCAAGCCAGCACGTTAAAGCGCCATGTACTTGGAGACACTCTCAACAAACTTGAGTAGCAAAGGTTGCAAAATTAATTGTCCAATCCAAGATAAGAATTCAGTATTTTCCACAAGGAACAAAAGAAATTAATAGAGTAAGTAAGTCCCGCCATCCCAGATATCTCGCCCCGAAAACAGCACATATCGTTATACAAAGGAAAAGAACAGTGGTTTCGGCCACAAACCCGCCAAAACCAAGTATGTATGTATGAACAAGCTCATATTAATTCATATAGCCCATCCATGTAGGCGCGGTAATCCGCCTCGCAGTCCTCATCCAGATACACACTATGCACCTCCTCATTCTCCAGCAGTCCCTTCTCGACATCGTCTTTTTCAGGGCTCTCATACACGTCAATCGCCACCTCCCTGTACTCAGGAGGCACCTGCAGATAATCCGCGAGCCACCAGTCGCCCGGGGCGGCGTGGACTTCAGGTTGGGACTGGGGCTCGCGCAGGACAAAGACGGAGCCGCAGCGCTCGAACAAGTAGTCTTCGAGATTGAACTTGTTGTCGGCGGGCGTGGGCGGGTGCAGTAGCACGCGCGGGAGAGCCGGGTTGCTAAAGTCCTCGAGGACAAAGGCGCGCGTGAAGGGCCGGCTGGTACGCGTTGCGTTGCTCTTCCTCTTCTTCTTCTGCCGTTTCTTGCGCACCAAGTGCGGAATGTGGCTGTTGTTTGCGTCGTCCACGGCGGCCGCCTTGTCTTGTCCACGCTTGCTGAAGAACCGCTTCATACACCGCAGCTTCTTGGGCAGGCGTAGTGTGCCTGAGAAGTCGTAGAAGGCATAGTTGAGGTGGAGATCTGAAGCCGAGGGCTTGAATAGGAATCCTGTAATCATGTTGATTGTTGGTGGGTGAGAGGCCTTCTGGGCTGGTGATGAAGCGGAAGTAGTGCTGTCCCTGGGAGCATTACGAGCGAGGGAGTGGTGATTTTTCACAGTGGCTCAACGTATGTATAGAAAACGGGAGATGGAGAGCTATGTCCTTCCTTTTTTTTTGCGGGATGTTTGTTTCTTTGTTTGATCTACGCTGGACAAGACCCAACAATGATCGGGGGTTGGGAATTCGTTTTGTTTTGTTTGTTCGAACTGGTTGAAACATTTTTTTTCGCTGCCCACGTGTCGCATCATTTGTGCACGCCCGTCTCGTTGTGCGCATTCTTCAGTCCCGTGCAGTTGGTACAGTTGCTGCAGCTTGTTCTCGTGAGCCCTTGTTACTAGGCGTGTGGGGTGTCTTGACTTACTTGACACAGTCGGTGCAGTCGGTACAGTTTCGACAGCCTTCGCAGCCTTCGCAATCGGTACAGTTATGGCAGGATGTACAGTTTTCACAGCTTGCGCAGTTGCGACACCCAGTGCAGTCTGTCCCCGTGTTAAAAACGAGCTCTGTCTGATAAAAGTAACCAGAACAGCGTGGTGAAAAAGAAACTTGGATAAGCTCAGACGAGCTGAAGAGCGGGGGAGAGTGGTATATCAGTGCCCACAATTGCGGTACGAAACATCTTTGGCACATTCAATATTGTCTGTGCAATATAAGTGCTTTCGATAAAAGTTTATGAGATAGCTCTTCTGATGAGGTGGATAACAGGATGTGTAGATAGAAATCTCTACACCGCAAAGTCGGAGAGCTAGCACTGGCCCATATGCGGCTTACCTTTACAATCTATACAATTCTGACCTGATATGGGATCATAGCGTCAGCGCTGGTCTCGTGAACAATGTTTTATTCTTCTGCGTACAATTTTTACATCCAGTGCAATTCTGATTGTTCCTGTTTCCGTCGTTGGCCGAAGAGCCGGGAAATGACTGGCCGCAACCCATATTGATCAAGTACTGTTATGTCGGGTGAACAGGATAATTAGGCAGTGAAGTTGAAGGCCAGACGTGTTTGAGAAGTAACGGCACTCGATGAACTTTGAGGTCGCATGCTTTGGACGGCGGGCTATGTAAGGGCGACGTCATCTGGCGGAGGACAGAGATTAGGGATGCCGGAATCAAATCTCCATCTCGATATCTCCCATCTACGACGTATGAGGCGTTTTGAAGTGGAAGATTGTAAGTAGTCGAAGTGTTGGTGGACCCAATACTACTGGTGCGCGTTTTCGCCACTGTTTGAAGCGCCAATAGGAACGGGTTATCGGTGTTCATCGCCGATGTGAAAAGAAGCATCATGATAAGCTTTGGTGTGGTCTCAGTGATCCCCATTCCGTAGAGTAAAGTGTTATGCTTTTTGAGGAAATGTTTTTGTTTGTAGCTTACGTATTTATAGCATATAAGCCGAAGACATGGCGCCATGAGCCATCAGTCATGGGCATGCAGTTTCTATCTGCTCAAGTCCATGCAGCCTCCAGTCGGTGATCTCCTCATACCTATTGCGGTACCCATGGCACGAATCTCGAATCTCATCTCCTAGATGTAGATGGAGTATGAGGACTGGTGAGGACAGGCTAGGGCGAGTTGGGTCTAGCGCATCCCTATATACCTAACGCTTGTGCATGGCCCTCATCCTCATAGCACAAGAGTCTTCTTCCAACAACGCGATACAAAAGGATACACGTATTGGACGTGAAAATTAGTCACAATGAAGTCATGGCGGTCACGGCTTGTGGTTATCGGCAAAAACCCCGACCCCACTCTTTTCGCCAAACCTTGACATGATTCGCCCACCTCATGTATTGACTCAGCATTGCTTGCATTATACATACGAACACGAGTAGCGGTGGATAATTTGGATTCCCTTATTCCCGGAAGTTCCTACGGGACGGCGACTGCGAAAGTCGGAAACAGAGAACAGCTAAATGGCCGAGTAAGCCCGCGCGCTGGCCGCCAGCTCCAACAGCAGCTGTGCAGCTTAACAATAGGTTTTGCTATTTTACATCTTGCTACATATTTGTGACAGGTATGTTCTTGATTTCTACATTCGCAGGATAACATAACAAGGCGTTGTGGTGCTGGTATATCCTATTGAAGGTAACGGGTTGGGTGGGCCAGAGCCGGCAGTTCTCTGTTTCCGGCTTACCCCAGTTCCGCGAGATGGTGCCATTGGTAAAGCATTTTTCCCTTGATCGGAAGAGTTCCGCCTTTGTATTTGACTGACAATCTGCATAGCTAGGTAGCTCAAGACTTTAGCTCGAGACTTTAGCAACCATGACAGCTCCGCATACCGACGCAGAAATGGGCATCGAGGAAACCGTATCCCACAGCCAGGATGAGTACCGGGATCCAGAGCACTTGCAGGAAAAACACCACCAGCCTGCTCTCGCTCGAGTGCTCTCCCGCCGCTCTGCAGCATCGTTTGATCCCGGTCCAGCTCCCGATGGCGGCGTCACAGCATGGCTCCAGGCCTTCTGCACCCACCTGACCATCCTAACCACCTTTGGCTTCTTCACCTCGTTTGGCGTGTACCAGACGTACTACCAGAATACGCTTGGCATTGAGCCGTCGACAATCTCATGGATCGGTTCCATCCAGGTCTTCCTGCTCTTCTTCCTGGGCACCTTTACCGGCCGTGCCACGGATGCTGGCCTCTTTCGCCCCGTCTACATCGCCGGTGCATGCTTCCAGCTGGTCGGCATCTTCACATTGGCAGAGTCCAAGAAAGTGTGGCAGCTCTTCCTCTCCCAAGGTGTTTGTCTCGGCATCGCAAACGGCCTGCAGTTCTGTCCTTCCATGGCCCTGGTATCAACCTACTTTGTCAAGCGCCGCGCCTTTGCACTTGGCTTCACGGCTCTAGGAGCCTGCATTGGCGGCGTCATCTTTCCAGTCATTGTGCAGCAATGCCTGCCTCGCCTGGGCTTTCCATGGACCATCCGCATCATCGGCTTCATCATGCTGTTTGTGAACGTCATCACGATAGCGTTGTATCGTACGCGGCTTCCGCCCCGGAAAGCCGGTGCCCTGGTCGATTGGGCGTCCTTCACGGAGCTTCCGTATACCCTCTACTGCAGTGCAGCTTTCTTCTGTTTCTGGGGCCTGTACTTTGCCTTTTTCTATATCGGTAGTTATGCACGCAACACGCTGGGCGCCAGCTATCAGCAGAGTATCAATCTCTTGCTAGTCCAGGTGTGCATGGGCTTCATCTTCCGGATACTGCCCACGTACTATGCGGATAAGATTGGGGGACTCAACGTGCTGACTCCCTTTGCCTTCATCTGCGGCATCATGATGTTTGCATGGATTGGAATCAAGTCGATTGGTACCTTGTATGTGTTCGCAGTCATCTATGGCAGCGGGAGCGCCGTCATTCAGGCGTTGTGGCCCGCCGTGATTGGGAATCTGAGTAGGGAGCGGGATCTGAAAAAGGCGGGTGTAAGGATGGGCATGGCTTTTACCGTCGTAAGCGTGTCCAGTCTCACCGGCCCGCCGCTAGCTGGTGCGCTGATCCAAATGAATCATGGCAGCTATACGTATGCAAACATCTGGGCCGGCCTATCGTTTTTTCTTGGAGGAATCTTGCTCGTGGCTACCAGGATATCTCTGGTGGGATGGGTCTGGAGGGCAAAAGTCTAAGTAGTTGTAGTCGTTAACGCAACCACCATGTGGTTTTACTTTGTGCATCATATGCCTTGCTTTTTCAGCCCCAACTTTGTTCTTCGTTTTGATGTCCATGTTTCAACGCTAGTGCCGTATGGTCATGTTCATCGGATGCTCTTGTTTCGGTGTGGTGCTCATCAACGCCAAGGAGGGTCACCCCGTAGCTTTTGGCAACCCACTGCTTACGTAGTGAATGGCCGCTGATGTCATGCATGATCTACGCAACCAAAACTATGGACCTTGTACCTTTTAAAAATTCGGGAAACATGGGCGTGGTCACATTGGCTGCTTCAGGCACAGCAGCTGACATAATCATTTCAACAAGTCCAAATGTGGTGTTCCGCCCTAGTAGTTCCGACTCGCAACATTCCCTGGCTGTTCACGATGACGCGTCGCAACAGTTACCGTCGCCTTCAGCGCGTCTGCAGACACATCAATCACTCACCGGACGCTTGAAATGGTATTGAGAGGCCCAAGAGGCGATGGCGGAAGTGGGCGTGGACGCGGCCGGGGTCGTGGTAGAGGAAAGACGCAGTTGGTATGTCATGCCGGTGCGACGCCGTAGACGCGTGCTTATGTGCTGTTCATCCAGTGGCAATGGGAGTCGTATTCACCTGGCCCCGAAGTGTACAACCAACTATGGCGCATTCGCAAGGAACCCGCCATTGTGACCGCGCGCCCGCCCGACGGCTGCCCCATGGCGCCTGCGCGAACCCGGATACTGGATCGCCGACAAACCGAGGGCGCGACGACACGAAATTACTATGTTGTGGAGATCGTACATGGCGGCGAGCAGCGGGAAATCGAAGAGGTGGATATGAGTCGCATACTGCAATATGTGTCTCCTGCCGAACTGGAACGCTACGAGAACGAGCAGTTCAGGCTCGAGGCCGAGGCAGAAGCCATTGCGGTGTGCGCAGAAATCGAGGAACTGGCGCGTCGGCGACTGGAGAAGAACGGAAGAGGCCCGAAGCCCGCTGGCCCAGGAAGCCTCATGCTCAGTGGACTGGGCTTACCGCTGGAAACTCAAATACGAACCAGAGGCAGGCCGAGAGGAAGACGCGGTAGAGGTAGAGGCAGAGGCAGAGGGAGAGGAGGAGGTCTAGCCATGCATGGGGATGACACAGTTGAGCAGCTGGCCGATGGTCTTCCCAGCGCGTTGTATCACGAAGCCGCCGAGACGGAACCGGTAATTCCAGACACGGAAGATGAAGTCGACAAAGACGAAGAACGACCATCGCAAACATCACCCGGCCTCATGCGCTCAGCCTTTGTAGCCAACAGCGCGCTTTCCGTCTCGCCCGTCCAAAGGCACCTTTCCACATCGCTTGCCCACCACCAGCACCATGATCTGTCCATGCGCTCAGACACCGAGGGCCCCGATGAACACCAAGACCGCGTCAAGAGACTGCGGATCACCAGCCCGGATCCAGCTATGCCCGCGATACCCATCGAGGCTTTTGCACAAACACTGCTCTTCTCGGACCGCTCGTCGGCCGTGGAATCGAGTCCACAGACAAGTGGGGATTTCAGCCATGCGCCGATACAGCGTTCTGCATCGAGTTCGCCTGTTGGTAGACTCAATGCGCACGACTTGATACCTGGTGAAGCATCATCATCACAATCGCAACCATCACAACCATTGCAACCATCACAACACCTTGCACCACCCAGATCCACCATGCTCACGCACGACGAACAGCTCGACCTAGACTTTGGCAGCGAACTCGAACTCGAACTGCAACCCGAAAACGAAAACGACAACAACAACAACAACAACAACGATGATGAAGACGTGCAAGAATACGTCGTCGAAGCCATCATGGAGCATTTCATCGACAAGGGCCGGGCTTACTACCTGGTCAAGTGGGAGGGCTACCAGGACAGTCACGACTGGTTGTCCGAGGAGGATTTGCAGGGCGCGCCGGAGCTGCTGGCTGAGTATCATGCTCGGAATCGGAAGAGGCTGCGGCAAGAAGGGAAGCCTGTTGGGTTTTTTCAGTAGGGTGGTGTTGTTAATAGTGCTTGGTCATGGATACTAGTGTAGTAGAATATAATAGCGTTAGAAAAGGGGGGGGGAAGTGGGTTAGGTTGGCCCGGCACTTGAGCTCTACCAGGCAATTTTTTTTTCTTTTTTGAGAATCTGCATACAAGTTGAATTCCTGCTCAGAAGACAGGTATGTTTGCGGCTTTTGAAGGTGTGCTTCTCGGTGAAGCCGCGTAGAAACAGGCCGTACATTAGTGTCTGGAATGGCGTGACGCTGCATGAACTGACGAGATTAGTGGTAGAACAAGATGAATTGCTGATGACGAATACGGCATTAAAGATGTTATGTGGACGGCGGGGGGTGGAGATGAATTAACTTGAACTAGGGAAGGCAACAGTAGCTGCACGCCGAGACGCGCACGTGACTGGGCCCTAGGGCGGATTAGTCGGCAGGGCTAGCGGCGCAGTGCAGGCCGAGGTTGGTCGTCAGTGTGGCTTTGGCATGCACACAACATGTAGACGGAACCGACCCGAGGCAACAAGCACGACACGACACGACACTACACGACCATCGCCCAACTGCCGCCGCTCTTGACACGGCCGACTCTCCACGTACACGGGCAACATGGCTTCGGCGCAGCCCTACACGTACCCCTTCGCCACGTCGCCCGACATGATCCGCTCGCACCAGAAAGATGCATACTTCTCGGGCGTGGTGCTCGAGCAGCTGTCGACGCTGCTGCGCAAAGTGTACGGCGCGCGGGTTGCGCATACGTATGGCTCGGAGACGCGCGTCGTGGGCGAGCTGCTGTACCTGGGGCTCACGACGCTGATAGGAAACCGGACGCTGGGCGAGGAATACACCGACATTGTGCAGGTCGAGGCGGAGACGGGGCGGCTGCCGGCGCTGGGGCGACGAGCGGGCTACATTGTGGCATGCATCCTGGGGCCCTATGTGCTGGGCAGAGCATTGCCCGCCTTTCGACGGCGAGTGCGCGCCAAACTCGAGGCCAACCTGCGCTGGTACGCTCGACAGCAGGCGCGCGCGCAGCAACACGCACAGCAACACGGCACAAAGGCGCCCACCAGGCGGCCGCTGGGCATGCGCGTGCAAAACTACATGGTGCGCAACCTCGACACCATCACGTCGCCGTCGCCCGTCTACGCTCTCTCGCTGGCCACGTTCTACTTCTCGGGCAGCTACTACCACCTCTCCAAGCGGCTATGGGGGCTGCGGTACATCTTCACGCGCCAGGTGCCCGAGAGCGACAACCGCGCGGGCTACGAGGTGCTGGGCGTGCTGCTGGTGCTGCAGATGGCGGTGCAGGGCTATCTCCACCTGCACAGCACCCTCACGTCGGCGGCGGCCGTGGGAGGCGGGCAGCACCCCCAGGGCACGGCGGCCGTTGTAGGCGGCGGCGCCGAAGTGTCGCTGGACCCCAATGCCTACAGCGCCAACAACGCCCTCTTGTTCGACGCGGCGCCGGCAGTGCCCGCGGCGGCGGCGTCGGATGTGCACAAATGGACACACACGCCGCCCACGGACAAGGCGCGATACGAGCTGGGCGACGACGAGACAATGGGGTGGATTGGCGAAAACAACAGAAAGTGCACGCTTTGCTTGGAAGAGATGAAGGACCCGAGCGTCACGACGTGTGGCCATGTGTTTTGCTGGACGTGTATTGGAGACTGGGCGCGGGAAAAGCCCGAGTGCCCGCTGTGCAGACAGGCATGTCTGGTGCAGCATGTGCTGCCGCTGCGGGGCTAGGGCGTCTATGTATGCGTCATGGAGTGGTGGTGGTGGTGGTTGATGTTGATGTTGGTACATGTACAGTAATGGTAGACTAGAGCACCTTCTCGGCCTCGTCAATGAGGCGCTGGATCTCGAATGCACTGTCGCCGGCGGTGAACAAGCTGAGCAGCTCGCTCCTCCCCTTGCCCTCGTCCGTCTGCACGTAGAACTTTTGCATGCACATGACGAGCCAGCGCGCGTCGTCGACACTGACGCCGCGGTTTTCCACGACGAGGCCCTGGCCCAGCACGAGGCCGTGGGAGCGGGCGAGCTCGTGGTGGAAGGTGACGGTGGTGTGGGGGCTGGCAAACTCGCCGCGCAGCTTGAACTCGGCGAGCGTGGTGAACATGAGCGTCGTCGTGTGGTCGTGGGGGTGGGCGAACTGGAGGTAGTGCAGCTCGGCGGCGTGGCGGGCGTGTGTATCTGTTTCGGTGTCGGTGTCGGTGTCGGTGTGTGCGGGCATGTCGCGGGGCACGGGCAGCACAAACGAGGGGTGCTGCTTTGCGCTGTGCAGCAGCTGCGAGAAGGTGGCGGCGGGCACGACAAAGTGCAGGCCGTTGGGCGTGGCGCCGTGGCGATAGCGCCAGAGGCCCTCGATGTCGGATGCCGAGAGGTCCTGGGCCTTTGCGAGGTCGAGGAACGAGCTGAGTGTCTGGACGCCCGGGGGCGGGGGCGGGCTGTCTGGTGTTGGCGTTTGTTTCTGCTGTTTCTGCTGTTTCTGCTGCCCTGGTGCTGGTGCTGGAGGCGTCAGAGGCCCCGTGGCGCCGGGCACAATGGCCTGCCTGCGCAGCTCGACAATCTTGTCCTTGTACTGCTCCTTGAGCTCGTCCAGGCCGCGCAGGCCCTTCTCCCTGGCCTTGGACTCGAGCTTCTCGCGGTACTTTGCCAGCACGCGCTCCTCGGTCTTGTGCGTGACGAGAAAGCGGACGTCCTGCACCTGCGCCCACCGCCGCTGTGTGGCGCGCGGGCTCAGCAGAGGCTGGCGCAGGGCGTGGCGCAGGGCGGGGATGCGGAGCGCCATGCTTCTTGATGCTGTTGCTGTTCTTCTTGTTCTTCTTGCTCGTGTCCGCCTCGTCCGTGTTCCTGGTCTCGGTCTTCGTCGCTGTCGTCGCCGTCGTCGTCGTTGTCGTCGTCGTCGCCGCCGCCTCTCTTTTTTTTCTGCCATGACGGCGGCGGTCCACTCGAGGGGTTGGGCGGCGGAAGGACGGGGGTTCTGATTGGCTGCAGCGCCCAGCGCATGCAATCCATCACGTCTGTTTCACCCGCTGCCGTTCCTGCATGACCGTTGCCCGCCGGCGACACACACTTGACACTCGCACACTCGCACACTCGCGCGCCCTCGCCCTCGCCCTCGCCCTCGCGCTGCATGTCTGTGTGCGTGCGTGCGTGTGTGTGCGCCGAGAGAAAGAAACAAGAAAGAAAGACACACGGCCAGACAGTAAGCAAGCAACAAAGGATCAAAGTCGCCCGCCCTGTGCCTGCCCGGCCTCTCACCCTGGCCAGCCCAACCTCGAGGCGCTGGGCCCCTCGGCCCCTCTACCATCTAATCATAGCGCGACTTATACCCCATACTTATTAATCCCGGCGCAAAGAGGCATGCGCCCGCGCATCACCACGACGACCTCCTCGCCCCCGCCGCCATGGGCGCTGTCAATAGCAAAGCGGGCGATGCAGGCGCCCTCTATCTGCGCGACCAGACGAGATGTATGCATGCCCCCTCGATGCCGCTCCTCCACCACTCTCACATACTAACCCCAACACCCGCCCCAGTCTCGGTGGCCTCGCTCAACATCACAAACGCCCGCAACCGCACCCTGCTCAACGTCTCGCCCAATGCCTTTCCCGCCACGCGCTACACGGCCCGCCGCGACTTTGGCGACGACAGCGTCGTCGAGTACATCCAGGTAAACGCCTCCTCCCCACCTGCACTGCCCCCCCCCCAAATGCTGAACAAAGTGTGCCCGCCCGCCTCTAGGACCCAGAGGCGCCCCCAGCCAGCGAGGGCCCTCCGCCCTTCCTCCTGCGCCTGCCCAGCGACGAGGACCTCACCTTCAACTTCACATTCATACTCCGCCAGCATCTAGCCGTCCCCACCATCTACAACGTCAGCTCAAACTCGTCCATTGCCCCCTCGGGCCTCGTCGACACAAACATCAGCGGCCTGACCTTTGTCTTCGCCTCGAGCTCACGCGACCTCGACAACCTCGTCACGCGCGAGTTCCACGCCAACCCCAACCTGCACAAGAACCCCCAGGTCGAGCTCGTCGGCGACTACTCCACCAGCGGCCATGCGTCGGTCCAGTTCCAGTGGTCGTGGAAGTGGACCCCTCCCAAGACGTCAGAGTCGCGTGGCGGGGGCTGGCGCACCAGCTGCAGTGTGCGTACACCTGCGTCCCCCTCATGCCTACACCCGCTGACAGCTGCAAGTTTGTCGAGTACGACCCGCGAGCACACCGGCTCGAAACGCTAGCCAGCTTCACCGTCTGGGTCCAGAGTGCGTCACCGAGCGAGCTGCCCGCCCCCCAAATAGCCTTTCCCACTGACACCACCCCCCCCCCACCTTCTAGATACTGCGCGCCACGTACAGAGCCCCAAGTCGCCGTCGCCGCGCCTGGAACTCGGCATCCCTCCCCGTCTCCGCGTGCCTTCCACGCAATCCATAGAGTCTCGCGTCAGCGACTCGGCCGGCGAAGACAAGGAGATCGACACGGCCGCGCCGAGATCGCCCATTTGCGAGTCCATACCCGAACACAGCCTCGCCCTGGTACCAAGCCAGGCGACAACGTTGACGTCTGGAAATGCCACCGTCAAGCTCGACGTCTCGCGCCCAGGCGAGGACCTCAGCCAGACCGACGATGGGCCCCTCTTCCGCGCCACCATGAAGTCGCTCGAGCAGAAAACAGGCAACATGCGCGCCCGCTGGAAAAAAGTCCTCAAGCGCGCCGAGGCCGCCATGGAGGCCCAGGTCGGCTGCAACAATGCCATGTCTGACCTGATGGACGCTTTGAAAGAAGCCTCGTCGTCCAACGCAAACGCAGTTCAGCCGGCGATTGATCATTACTTTGACAAAATCGCAAAGGAAATTCTCGTCTACGAGAAATCGAATGCGACCAATATCCAGAAACTCGTTATTGATCCTATTTACAAACTCTATAATGTCGATATCAAGCAGGCCGAAACCAAGCGCAAGGACTTTGAGGAGGAGAGCAAAGACTACTACCAATATCTAGGCCGATACCTTGGCCAACGCCAGGATTCGCTGAAAGAGAAGAAGCGCGCCGAGACAGACTCCAAGTACCAAGCAAAGAGGCGCAACTTTGAGCTGAAGCGCTTCGATTACTCGTCCTTTATGCAAGACCTGCACGGCGGCAGAAAAGACCAAGAGGTTCTTTCCCACCTGACGCGCTATGCCGACGCCCAGGCCAAGAGCTATCTCGAAACCGCAAAAAAAATTGAAACCATGCTGCCCCATCTCGAGGCGTTGACATGCGAGGTCAAGGAAGCTGACAAAGAGTTCCAAATCCAGAGGACCGAGAGAGAAGAAAAGCGGCGCGCCTTGGAAACCATCAAGAAGACTTTTGACGATGTGCCGAACCCATCCATTACATCCCCAGCACCGTCTACTGGGAATTTGGCAAGATCCATGTCGAGATCGGAACCAGATTCGGCTTCTGGGCGAAAGAGCAGCATTGTTCCCGTTTTCCAGAGCACAGTAGTTCCTCCTCAGGCTGCCCCATCCACCAGTCTCCCCTCATCCATCGCTTTACCCCAAAGCCCAGAGGCCAGCAAGGCAAGTTTACCAATGGTTGCTCCGCAGCCGGACAAGTTCCGGGGAATCAGGGATCTCGAGGAAAAGGATCTCACCACCATGGTTGAGGCTGGGGGCGCGCACCGTAAAGAGGGCTTACTCTGGGCGCTCAGCAGGCCCGGAAGTCATGTAGATCCAAAGGGGTTGAACAAGCAGGCCTGGCACAAGTAGGTGATGCATCTTTCGGAAACGCAATGGCCATACTGACATGCCAAGGTTCTGGATCGTCCTTGATCAGGGCAAGCTTTCTGAATACACAAACTGGAAGCAAAACTTGGAGCTGCACATGGAGCCCATTGATCTCCGCATGGCTTCAGTGCGCGAAGCACGCAACGCAGACCGCCGGTTTTGCTTCGAAGTTATTACCCCGCAATACACGCGCGTATACCAGGCCACCAACGAAGACGACATGAAGTCGTGGATCAGTGCCGTCAACAACGCCCTACAGACGGCTGTGGAGAGTGCAGGGCAATCCGATAGGCCATCGACTGATTCATTGCCCGGACAGACACACCGAGACATTGCATCAGTCCTCACCGGCAAGAGCCCTTCCATGTCAAGCCACCGTAATAATTACAGCTCCAAAGCCCCCGCTCGACATGCCACCGTCGGCGACCGACCAGGCGCTTACCGTCGGGACGAGGCGTTTGGTGACGATGGGAAACTACTGAAGCAGGTTCGCGATGCCGATGCCAGCAACAGGGTGTGCGCCGACTGCGGCACCGAGATCAAGGTGGACTGGGTCTCTATCAATCTCGGCATTGTCATCTGCATCGAATGCAGCGGTATTCATCGGTCTCTGGGCACACACATCTCAAAGGTGCGCTCTTTGACGCTCGACGTCACATCCTTCACTCCCGATATTATCGAGATACTCTTGAAGGTCGGTAACCGCATCAGCAACTCCATCTGGGAAGGCCGGCTAGACCCCGGGCAGAAGCCGGGGCCAATGTCCACCCGAGAGCAGAGGCTCCATTTTATCACGTCAAAGTACGCGGACCGAGCATTCGTAGCACCGATAGCGCCAAACATGTCACACTACGCGACACCCGAGGAGACGTTACTGGCGTCAGTTAAGAAGAACGACATCCAGAACGTGCTTTATGCACTGGCACTACGAGCCAACCCGAATGCGCGTGATCGGTCACGGGGCACACACGTTGTCTATCTAGCACTTGCAGCAGCGGATCCAGCAGCACCACCGGCTTCAGCCTCACCATCAACCTCTCCCGGCACAGGTGCGCGACCAGGCACAGCACAAAGCGCTCGCAAAGCGTTTCCTGTGGCGGAACTCCTTTTGCAGAACGGCGCCGAGCTTCCCCTAACGGCCGCCCCCATCCCGTTAAGCCTCTCGGCACGATCCTACCTTGATTTCAAGGCGGACCAACGTGCTGGCAAGCTCCCTGCGCCCATGGCCAGCAATCAGTCGACTCCCCATGCAGAAAAGCCTCCTGTTTTACCGCCCATTCTAGCTGGGAACGGTAGCTCTCCGTCTGAAAGAGCGCGAGAAAGGGATGCTCGACTGCAAAAGCGAGTCTCTGCAAATGGAAGGTTGGTCAAGAGCCCAAACCTGGAACCTATTGAAGGTAAGCGCGGCTCGTAGGAGTAGCCGATGCTTATATATTGCTGTGCTTCTAGTGTATACCTTCCATGGATGGCATGTAGTCTTGTGCGATGGGCGTCAAGTGGCTGAGCAGGGCATGTGACGTTACGACGTAGACGCCAAGGGAAGATTAGTACCATCTAGCGATGTTGGATTGGGCGTATTGCTGTTGCCTTGGATGTACAGCTATCGATTCCTCTTCTTTTTTTTTCTTTCTTTTTTTTGGCAAACGTTCTAATATGTATCTCACGTAGCATGTCTGTCCTGCGCGAGTGGTGTATATGCGCAGCCCTGATGTATTTTGTTTTTGTGTGACTGTGCGAACGGGGCCTGTAATCTAATGAGAAAGATAGATTCATGACATGTCGATAATATCTAGTAAGTCATTACTCAAGTTGGACTCCGATGTTGCAGTCACACAGTCGGTACTTGGTAGTGGTGACTGTCGAGAGGCCCGTGCCTGCCACCCCACTAGCGCGCACCAAAATTACCGTTGTCGCCAAAGTTGATATCCCCCGCAGGGCATCGACATAGCCATCGACACGGAAACCGCAGCAATCATGGCGTCGGCATACTCCAATCTGCCCATGGACGGCGACGACGAATTCGACGAGAACCAAATCGACTTTACCGACATCGAAGAGCAGTTCCAGGTCCGGTTGGATGAGGGGCTTGACGCCTTTGTCGTGATTGACGGCCTGCCCGTTGTGCCCGAGGACAGCAAGGGCAAACTGATCAAGTTCGTGCTGCGCAAGCTGAACAGCGTCGGCAAGGTCAAGGACGATGGCGTGCACATGCCCGTGGGCGAGTCGGGCAAGACGGAGGGGTAGGTTGATTTCGCAACGGCGCCGTGGGCACTGGTCAACGTGGACCCAGGCACTGACGGCGACACAGATATGCCTTTGTCGAGTACAGCGCGCCCGCCGAGGCCGTCGCAGCCGTCAAGCAGCTGCATGGAACCCCGCTCGACAAGAAGCACACCATGGCTGTGAACAAGCTTACCGACATTGACCGCTACGGCAAGGAGGGACGCATCGACGACGAATACCACCCGCCCGAGATTCCTCCATTTGAGCACAAGGAGCACCTGAGGTGGTGGCTTGGAGACGCAGACTGCCGCGACCAGATTGCCATGTACCGCCAGGACAGAGTCGGTGTCTTCTGGAACGAGAAGGAAGACCAGCCCGAGCAGGTGGTAGACCGCGAAAACTGGACAGAGTCTTTTATCCAGTGGTCGCCACAGGGAACCTACCTCACTTCGATGCATGCCCAGGGTGTGCAGCTGTGGGGAGGCAAGTCGTGGAGCAGACAAAAACGTTTCGCCCATCCTGGTGTCAACCTGGTCGACTTCTCGCCCGGCGAGAACTACCTCACCACCTGGTCGCATCGCCCGCTCCAAGTCGACGAGAACCACCCCGTCCCGTCGCTCTCGCTCGAGGAGGACGGCAAGAACTACATCATCTGGGACATCGCCACAGGCAAGCCGCTGCGTTCGTTCGCTACCATCGACGTCCCCGGTGGCACCGACCCCGATGGCAACCCCATCAAGAAGAAGCTACAATGGCCCACGTTCAAGTGGTCTTCCGACGACAAGTACGTGGCGCGCATGACCCAAGGCCAGTCCATCTCCATCTACGAGCTGCCCCGCATGAACCTGCTCGACAAGACGTCGGTCAAGATCGAGGGCGTCATGGACTTTGAGTGGGCTCCTGCTACCCCCCGCCGAGAAGGAATCAAGCACTACGAGCAGCTCTTCTGCTACTGGACTCCCGAACTTGGCAGCAATCCCGCCAAAGTCGGACTCATGTCTATCCCATCCAAGGAGGTTGTTCGTACCCGCAACCTCTTCAACGTCTCTGACGCCAAGCTCCACTGGCAATCAGAAGCAGCCTACGTCTGTGTCAAGGTCGATCGCCACTCCAAGTCCAAGAAGTCGCTTGCGACAAACTTGGAAATCTTCCGCGTCCGCGAAAAGGGCGTGCCAGTCGAGGTTGTTGATTCCATCAAGGACACCGTCATCAACTTTGCCTGGGAACCCAAGGGCAACCGCTTTGTGCTCATCACCACCGGTGAGGTTATTCAAGGCGCAGCCGTAGGCCCCAAGACTGCCGTTTCCTTCTTTGCTACCGAAAAGCTCAAGGGAGGAGCAGTTGGAAATTTCCGCCACATCCGAACCATTGACAAGAAGAACAGCAACGCCATCTACTGGTCGCCAAAGGGAAGGTTTGTCGTTGTTGCCGCCCTGCAGTCACAGCAGTCGTTCGAGCTCGAGTTCTGGGACATGAGCTTTGACAAGCCCAAGGACGAGTCGGAGAAGGGTGACAAGGAGGTCAACGCCAACCTGCAGCTCATGGACACTGCTGAACACTATGGTGTGACAGACATTGAGTGGGACCCTACTGGCCGCTATGTCGCCACCGTTGCGAGTGCTTTCCGTCACCGAGTATGTATCATCAGCCGGTCTTTTTTTGCTTGTACTAATGATGTATAGATGGAAAATGGCTACCATCTCTATGACTTCAAGGGCACACTCCTCCGCGAGGAAGCCATTGAAGGCTTCAAGCAGCTCCTCTGGCGTCCACGACCCCCGACACTCCTTTCCAAGGAGGAGCAGGCTGAGATTCGCAAGAATCTGCGCAACTACTCCAAGATCTTTGATGAGCAAGATCTTGCCAAGAAGAGTTCGGCCAACAAGGCTGTTGTGGAGGCTCGTCGTGAGATGTTCAATGAGTGGCGCAGGTGGCGAGAAGAGGTTACCGAGAGGCTGCAGGAAGAAGGAGCAGAGCTGGAACTTGCGACCCTCAAGGGACAGACGCCTGGACAGGCTGAAGATGGCCACCAAGAGGAGATTGAGGAGATTGTCGAGGAGATTGTTGAAGAGACTGAGGAGGTCATCAACTAGGTTGATTGGGGTGTAGATTAGGGGGCGGGTTGGACATGCATCAGACAATGTGGTGGAAGCCAGTTTGTTCAAGACGAGCACACGACTGATGAAAAGATTTATGTGATACCTACGTGTGTGACTATCAGTGAGCAGCATATGGATTGATCATGCTCATGAGCTTGCGAAAAGTAGGCGTAATGAGGCAAAAGGCAGATAGAGAAGCGATGTATGGATATTTCGAACGGGGCGATAATGAAACAAGTAGTTGATTCCAAAGGACATTGGAGATGAAGGATACTCAAGTGACGGCTATGTTTTCCGTCGCCCCTGAAGCGTAGTCTTGTAATGCTACAAATGGTGAGTTGAAGGCACCACGCAAACACGACAACCAACAACAACAACAACAACAACAACAACCCCTTACTCACCTGACAAGTAATCCGGATCCCTTCTTCCAGCCCAACCCGCGGCTCATACCCCAGCACCCGCCGCGCCTTGTCAATACACACATAGCGATCCCGACACCCATCGCTCACCACACCCCGACACAGCGTGCCCGGCGCCCCCGTAGCCCACTCAACCCACTCCGCCACATACCCCACGCACCACGCCACGCGCTCTGGCACCGCAATCTCAAACGCAGGCACATGTCCGAATTCACGCCACACGGCCAGACAAAACGCACGCGCGGTCACCGGTTCCCCGTTTGAAATAAACAGCGCTTCCCCCGCCGCACTACCAGCCGCGTCCTTGTTCTCCGCGCCCAGCAGCAGATTCTCAGTCGCTAGCACGTGTGCGTCGGCCACGTTGCTGATGTACGCGTAATCCTGCAGGTTGGTGCCGGTGCCCAGGAGAAAGGGCGTTTGGAAGGCCGAGATGCAGGCGTGGAGGGTCGGCGTGAGAGTGCTGTCGTTGGGACCGAAGATTGGGGGTGGGCGTAGGGCGCAGGTAAGGAAGGTAGGTGTGGAGGAGGTGAGGACGAGGTCTTCGGAGAGGGCCTGGGGTGTGTGAATGGTGAGGGTGGAATAGGGTGGAATGGGGGAGAGGGATAGACGAAGAAGAGAAGAATAGAAGAATGGGGGAGGGTTGGAATTGAAATGGGGAGGTCAAGGGGGTAATGTAGAGCTGGAAATGTTGATTGAATTTTTGTGGAAACTTGGGTAGCAAAAGAATAGAAGGGGAAGAAAAGAGTGAATGGTAAAATACAAAAAAAACCCAAGACAAACTCACCTTGCTCAGCCCATAACTCGTATCCACGCAATGCTTCGGCCACTTCTCATCTACATTTCTGAAATCGCGATTCAAGTCATCCAGCACGACCGTCGTACTGCTCGTATACACGAAGCTCTCAACGCCACACTCCTTACTCGCCTGCAGCACGTTTCTCGTGCCCTGGACATTGACCTCGAACACGGCGTCACGGCCCTCCATGGAATACCGCTTTGTGCCTAGATGATACATGCCGACGGTGTGGATGACAGCCACAGGCCTGGTCTCGGAAAACACGCTGGATAGAGCTGCCGGGTCGAGAACGTCGCAGCGCACATAGCGCACGTTGGTGTGCGTGCTGCTGAAATTCGGGCTGCCCAGAGATGGCGGATTGATGTCCACCGCCGTCACGCTGTATCGCTTCGTGTCCAGCAGCGCGGATACCACGGCTGTTCCGACGAAGCCGCAGCCGCCTGTTACCAGGACGTGAGGGAGCGGCATGCTTGATATATATCTCGGATTAGTAAAGATACGTCGGGTGGTGCGCGGGTTGGAGCGAAACGTTAAGTTGGCTGTTGAAGACGCGCGCACGGATTTTCCCCGGGTGGAATTCACGGGGAGAGTCGTGGCAATGTGGGTTTATGGGTTTGAAGATGTCCTGGGCTGATGCGATATCAGATGGAATTGCGATTGAGGTTGGGTATAAAGAAGTCTCCTTGCCTGGCCTTCAATTTGACACTTTGCCGTAGCTCGCCTAGTGAACTCTGTCGGGCTGTTAGATTCTCGTTCTGTATAATGTGACATGGGGATGTCCTTGCGTCCTTACTCGCATCAGAATCTGTATGCTGGCAGATTGCAGAAAGAGTTGGAGGCGTGTGCGGTAGTCGGTATTGTGTGCATCGGGATCATGCAAGGTATCCACCCACATAAGTATGTACTCAGGTCCCCTCTGGTAAGTAGATCGACTGTATGACGCACTCTCGACTCTTGTCACAAGTGCCATATTTGCGCCTCCATTGTACTACGAGGAAATTCCCAGTCGTATTAAGAATAACAATGAATATTAGAAAATCCAGTTCATGTTCTGCTACTAAAATAATATGTCAATGTCTGGCATGAATTCTGCTGAGCACGGGACTTGCTGAGAACCAGACCATTTTTTTTTGCAATTCAACAGTCACATTTATTTCTTTAAAAAATTATTCACTCAACAACGCAACAATGAAGTTGAATGAAAAAGAGGGTATAGCGTCCTACCTACTAAAAATACGTTTTTTCTTCTCATAATACTAAGAAATTGTAGCGATTCTCACACCTCGCCTGCTGCTTGTCCCGTACTGCTCTCACCACGTGGTGACGTACCATGAATGGATGCAAGATGAAGTATATTGTCACCCTATCTTCTCAGATTCGTCCCAAGCCAATTGCATGCATATATATAACCGGTATAACAGGAACTCCAAAAGCTCACTGCATCTGAACCTCTGACGCTGTGTGAAGAATACTCGATGCAAGAGTCTTGGCGACAGGACGCCGATAAACTCACATTTATCATCTGCACGGCTCCCAACGCAGCACCAATAGCAAAGGCACCGGAAAGAAAATTTACACCGGAAAAAGACGATGCACCTGAGCGCATGATCGGAGATGTTGTAAGCAACGCGCCCAGCACCAAAAAGAAAAAGAGAGGAGTATGAGGCGCTGACTTGTAACCACCACCACGCCTCAGAACCTCTTCTTGTATCCCTCCGACGATGAAGATGGAGACGACGCAGAGGACGCCACAGCAGTAAGCGCACATGCAGAAGACGACGCAAAACAGCACGCTACGCGCGTTGTAGGTGAAGTCGAAATCATGATTGCGCGACCAGACGCCCGTGGCAAGGGCCTGGCGCAAGAGGCGCTCCAGGCGTTTCTCTGGTACATCGACTCCTCGCTGCCGGCGATCCTGAACGAGTACACGCAGGGCAGAAGCACAAACGCTTGTTTGAGCTACCTCCGAGTCAAGATTGACAAGGACAACACGCGCAGTCTGGCATTATTCCAGAAACTGGGCTTCGCGGATATCAGCGGCCCCAACTATTTTGGCGAGATGGAGCTGCGGTCTAGGAGGAGTACGAGTGAGCAGCAGAATGTGGTTGCGGAAAAACTTCCGTATGGGCTGTTGTAAGGTACAGGGAAATACAGGCACTTGTTTTTGAATGCAAAGGGAGACGGTAATTTTGGATGCTAGGGTGGAGTCGCCCAAGAGCACAGAATGAGATTGGTATCTAGTATGAAATGCATTTACAAAACGCCTGGCAATGCAAGAATGCTTTTTTTCTCTTCATTGCAATTACGCCTCATCCTCGCTCTCGTCGTCGTTGTCAGCAGCGCCATTGGCCAGTATTTTGCGCGGCACTTCGAAAACGTAGATGCCATTTTTGACTTTTCCTGACATCCATCGAGCTAGCCTGGGCTCCTTGCCTACGGCTGCTACGACACATAGTCCATCTTTGCCCCTGTCTCCTCTTTCTTGGATCGAAAGTCCATTTACAATACCCCGAATCAAGATGGGACCATGCTCGCTATTGCCGTTCATGGTTTGGCCCTCTTCTTCTAGAGGCACGTGTCCGACCTTGCCAAGGGGCTCGATGCTCTTCTTGTCGTCGGCGATTTTCCAAGCACGTATCCAGCCGTCCCAGCTTGCTGTAAGGACAAGGTTGGCGAAGGGCACTGTAGCAAGCGCGGTGACATATCGTGCCAGACGCGGTCCTAGGCGAGCCGACGTGGTGGCATCATGGTTGGCTGACATTTCCTCGGGCGAAAGTGGCGGGTCCCGACCGTGAGTAAGCGGATAGGTGAAGAGAGGTTTCTTCCTGTTGATCGACCACAGCGAAAGGGCGCCATTATCCGATGCTGTAACAAACAAGCTGGCGTCGAGGAGCGCAACACAGTCAATCGAGCCTTCTGCGTAGGCAATGGGCGCATCGCCATCATCTTGGTGCGTGCCATTGACCATGTCGTCTTTGGCGTCGTCTCCGTCAACGTTCTTGCCAAAGCGGCCTTTGCGCAGTTTGTCCATGCCCTTTTGTCGTGCCGTGCCACCACCGTGAAAGACCAGTTGATTCTCCTCGACGACCCTCCACAGACGCGCAGTGCGGTCCCGGGCGCCTACACTGACGCAAGTCTCTTGATTGAGCTCAAGCCCACCGGCGATACCAATGACCGAGTCTTGGTGTCCCACAAGCGTCTCAATGTATGCGGATTCTGGAGCACTCCAAACGATGACGGCGCGGTCTGCTCCTCCAGAAAAGAGTTGTTCGGTTCCTCGTCGGAAGGACAGGGAGAGGACAGCATCGCGATGGCGAGTAAACAGGTGGCGAGGCGTGAGGGTGTCGGCGTCCCAAATGATCAAGCGTGCGTGCATGTCGCCAGTGGCTAGGTATTTTCCCGAATCAGAGATTGCAATGGACACAATCTCGCCAGTGTGGCCCAGGTAGGCTCTGTCGCCCTTTTTGTTCTTGTTCCCTTTGCGCCAAAGCATTCTCTTGGGTGTCCTGCGCGGCGTGATGTTGGACGGACGGGTGGCGTCTGGGGCGTATGACTTTGGGTCGGCAATCTCCCACTTCTCGACGACCAGGTCTTTGCTGATTGTCCATGCGTGGGGCAGCTTGACGGCACAGCCTGTTATGGCTTTTTGCAGGCCCGAGGAGGCGGCGGCATGCGATGCGCGCTCAAAGTCGAGCTGGTCGGCAATTGAGCGGTAGATTTTTCCTTTGCCCTCTGCGACGTCCTCTTTCAGTCTTTCGGCGATGAGGTCCTTGTCAATCTGCTCGGCGTCGAAGCCCACTTCTTGCTCGACCTCGTTGCGGATGTTGTCGAGATAGCGCTCTGCCAGGCGGAGGCGCTTCTCGGCGGCTGTCTCATTCTCATCCTCTGAGGTTTCCGAGTCACTGTCGTCGCCGTCGTCAAAGAAGGGCTCGCCGTCATCGTCAGATACATCGCTGCCACTGATAGAGTCTTCGCGCGCGGCGCGGCGGGCGCTGGTGTCAGTGTTGCGCCGTTTGGGAGCCGTGGCGGGGGCGTCAGAGCGCTTTCGTTTGCGCAGCGAGGCCGGGGTGGTGAAGAAGGACGACGACATGATGGCGGTTGGGGACGTGGCCGGCGACAGAGGGCCTGGCCGGGTTTTCTGGTGCTCTCTGAAAAATGGTCGGCCAACTTTTTTTCCAACGCCGATGGGGAGCTGCGACCGCCGCCGCGGAGGTCTTGGCGCACGTGCACCTGGAGCGCGCTCGTTCTCGTCCGCTCGCTCAATCCGCCGCCGCGTGGAGGCCCTCGCCATCATCATCACCACCTCGACTACTACCACCACCACCATCGCCGTCGTCTCCGCCGCCGTCAGCTGCAGCCACGCCGCCTTGCTGCCATCCTTCTGCCCCAGCCCGCCCTGAATTAGCCCGCCTCCGGGTCCTCCAACGACATGTTGTAGACGAGGGGGTCGACTTCGCGGGGCAGCATCCGCATTATGGTGAGGGTTGTCATGTCGAGGGCGACGCGGGTTCCTTGCTTGAGCTTGGCCTTGTCGACCTTTGACCGGCACCCGACGACGTAGCGGGGGCCGGATGATGCCTTTACAATGACTGCACGTCCAGGGTCAGTATGGAATCGAACGGCGGGCGGGTTCTGGGGAGCTCTGCTGCAACATACACCGCTCCTCGTCCAGCTGCTTGAGCACCTCGCCTATTATTTGGCCGACGCTCTGCAGCGCCTTGATGTTCTCTTCCGACACGTCAAAGTCATGCTGGAGACCTTTAATCTCCAGTCGCAGCGCCTTGAGCTTGGCCTCCCACTCTCTTGACTCGAGCAGCTTGGACTTGTAGGCTTCGAGCGCGTGCTCACGCTCCTGGTCTCCGCTGCCACTCATGGCGGGCAGTCTCTGTCTGGGGGGGGGGGGGTTGAGAGGCGGTACTGCGTGGACACAGCGGCCGGGATTGCTGCAGCGGGTACCTCTAGCTTGGAGAGGCGGGGAAGGTCAGGCCCCCGGCCAGGTCAGCTTTGGCGGCATTGGCGGTCTGAATGAGCAGATTCGTGAGCTGCGTGAGGTTATCGAGCTGCCGCTGAAGAACCCCGAGCTATTTCTGCGAGTGGGCATCAAGCCGCCAAAGGGTGTGCTGCTCTACGGGCCTCCAGGCACAGGAAAGACACTGCTGGCTCGTGCCGTCGCAAGCAGTCTGGAGACAAACTTTCTCAAGGTCGTCTCATCGGCCATTGTCGACAAGTACATTGGTGAATCCGCACGCTTGATCCGCGAAATGTTTGGCTACGCCAAAGAGCACGAGCCCTGCATCATCTTCATGGACGAAATTGATGCCATTGGCGGTAGGCGCTTCTCCGAGGGAACATCGGCAGATCGTGAGATTCAGCGAACCCTCATGGAGCTGCTCAACCAGCTCGACGGTTTCGACTACCTCGGCCAAACCAAAATCATCATGGCCACAAATCGACCAGACACCCTCGATCCCGCTCTGCTCCGTGCCGGTCGTCTTGACCGCAAGCTCGAAATTCCCCTGCCCAACGAAGTCGGGCGTCTTGAGATTCTCAAGATTCACTCTGCTAGTGTAGTCACAGATGGCGAGATTGACTTTGAGAGCATTGTCAAGATGAGCGACGGAATGAACGGCGCCGATCTGCGCAACGTCGTTACGGAAGCGTAAGTACCTTGCTTCAACTCACAAGATAACAACTGTAGCTAACACGTCACAGCGGTCTTTTTGCCATCAAGGACTACCGGGACTCAATCAACCAAGACGATTTCAACAAAGCGGTCCGGAAGATGGCAGAGTCGAAGAAGCTCGAGGGCAAGCTAGACTACCAGAAATTGTAGAGTGGCCAGCGCTGCTTGGCTGCATCACTAGCTACATTATGGCCGTAATGAGGGTAGAGCGATAGGCATCATGTACAATAGTACGGGACGATGGCATGGCAAAATAATCATTGCACTGCCCCAGATTTGTTTGATTGTGAAACATGCATTGCCTATTGAATCTTGTGTCTCAAGTGACGTAGGCACGCTAGCCTGGACATTCTCCGACCAGAGTGCACGTGAGAGCGCGCTCTAGCGAAATCAAAGTCCGGGCCACCGAGCCTAGGATACCACTTTGGCAGGACACGCCCACGACATTGCTTTACAATATCACCGCCGCTATGGAAGCATCGCAGTCGCCAACCAAGCCAAAGCGCTCTCGCGCTGAAATGGAACACGACAGCGGCATGCCAGCCAAGGAATCTGCAGCACAAGCTCACGACGGTACTGTTCGTCCGCGTTACATGCGCGCAACTCGCTCTAACATTGCATTTTAGACGAGACATCATCATCCGACGACGACGACTTTGGACCCGCCCTTCCCTCCTCGGCGCCGAAAAAGAAGAAGCGCAAGCTACCATATGAGAAGCTCTACGTTGCTGCGCTGCCTGGCGCAGCCCGATACTCGAAATCACTTATGCACCGCGAGCAACTCTGCTTTACCACCTTTACCCCACACACCGACTTTCTCATTACCAGCTCCGTCGACGGCGTCGTCAAATTCTGGAAAAAGGTCTTTGGAGGCATCGAGTTTGTCAAGGAGTTCCGTGCGCATAGCGGCGAGATCAAGTTTGTCAACGTGAGCGCCGACGGCCGCAGTTTTGCGACTGCCGGCGCGGACAAGACGATCAAGATCTTTGATGTCGTCACATTCGACCTCTTGGCCATGTTGACCTTGGATTATGTTCCTCTGGCGATTTGCTGGCTGCATGGCCGAGGCGCAAGCTTCCCACAACTGGCCGTCAGCTCAGAAGCCAACAGCTGGATCCGCGTATACGATGGCAGAGGCGAAAACCCGGAGCCGCTGCACGTCTTGAAGACCGTGCACAGAGCCCCTGTTAGCCTGATGGCATACAACAACCACTTTGACTGCGTTGTGAGCGTCGACCAGGGCGGCATGATTGAATATTGGAGACCAAACGGAAACTATGAGAAGCCGGATAACGTGTGGTCTCTGAAGAGCTCTACGAGCCTGTTTGAGTTCAAAAAGTCCAAATGCGTCCCATCTTCGCTCACGCTTTCGCCCACTGGAAAGCAGTTTGCGACCTTTTCTTTCCCGGACCGCAAAGTCCGTGTTTTTGATTTTGCCACTGGAAAACTCCACCGAACCTATGACGAGTCTATTGAAACCATCACGAGCATGCAACAAGCGGGAACTGCTGTCCAGCACCTTGAAGACATGGAGTTTGGGCGAAGAATAGGCATTGAAAGAGAACTTGATCAGCCTTGGCTGCGATGTCGCATGAATGTCATTTTCGACGAGACAGGCAACTTCATCCTCTATGGCAGCATGTACGGTGTCAAGGTCATCAACACAGTCACGAACAAGCTTGTGAAGCTATATGGCCAAGAAGAGTCGATCCGGCCGCTGTGGTTATGTCTCTACCAAGGCCAGCCCGAGAAGAAGGGAGTTGTTACGGTTGAAATGGCAGCAAGTGAGAACCCACTGCTGCAAGAAGCCGAGGCACGAGATGCCATGCTCGTGTCCACGGGCTCCGGCAAAGTCCGTTTTTACATGTACACCAACGACTCGACCGTCTCCAAGTCGGTACGCGACGTGCAAAACGAAAAGCCACGCGCCGCAGCCTCGAACAAGAAAAAGGACGAAAAGGCGCTGGCGGCAACAGGCACAACAGCCACTCTACACACAACCTATGGCGACATCACCATGCGCCTATTCCCCGACGCGGCACCCAAAGCCGTCGAGAACTTTGTCACGCACGCACGCAACGGATATTACAACAACGTGATATTCCACCGCGTCATTCGCAAGTTCATGATCCAAACGGGCGACCCGCTCGGCGACGGCACCGGAGGCGAAAGCATCTGGGGCAAGGAGTTTGCCGACGAGTTCTCCAATCTCAAGCACGACAAGCCGTATACCGTCAGCATGGCCAATGCCGGTCCAAATTCAAACGGCAGCCAGTTTTTCATCACAACAGAGAAGACGGTAAGTACAGCCCGCGAGCGCTTCCTTTTGCTGTTATTCGCGCCTCACGCCAACATATCATGTTGCATATATGATGAAGATCCCCTCCCCCCCTGCTAAGAAGACGAGCGGCTAACTTGTTCCGTGCTATATAGCCGTGGCTTGACAACAAGCATACTATTTTCGGACGCGCCATTGCGGGCATGGACGTGGTGCACAAGATTGAGAATACTAAAGTATACAAGGAGAAGCCCGAAGAGGATATCAAGATTATCAGCATTTCCGTCTCCTGAGTCCCGTTGGGTCAGGCAAAACAAAAAATAAGGGTGAGGGGGGCAATGTGAATGCAGCAATGTGAGTAGGATATTGAGTTATTTCCAAAGGCAATCAATCTCAGCGTACGTGAAGCATGCAAACTAAGTACATAGATACCTTGTGTGCTTCAATTCAATGTACATACACACGTGGGGAATAGAAGCCAACAAAAAGCTAAGCACATCCATGTCTCCCATGGATGCGCAGGATGATACTTGATACTAAGAAATAACAAATGCTGCAGTGACCTACGCCCAGGGCTCTATTAAATTCCAAGAAAGAAAAGAAAAAAAATTGTCTCCCCACCATGCAAATGTACTAACTGCGTAGCAAAACCAACGCCCGCTGCAAATTTCTCCCACGCCCTGCTTCCCCCCCACCCCTCCAAGAAAACTACCCACCGTCTCGCAGCAGTGAAACCGAAACACGCAATATTGTCAGGGAAAAAAAATGAAAGCAGCACAATTTGGCTGTTAAAAAAGAAACAAGAACTAAAAAACAAAAAACAAAAAGGATTGGTATCATGTTCGTGCGCCGAAAGTGTTCCCCCCCCCACGCGCCCGCCCTTTCCCATTGTGTGGCGCCTTAGAAAACCGAAAAGAAAACCATGGGGGTTCGTCCCACAAACCTTTGAACAAACTTGTCAAAGCGAGACACGGTAGAGTAGAGTCAAGACGGTAAAAAATGTCTCATGCCCAGTCAGAAGCGCCGATGAATGCAATGCTAGATGGAGTATACTTGTTCGTCATATGCCGTACTTGTGAGTCTCACCTGCTCACCTCGTGGCTGCTGGAGATGGCGAGTTGCGGCCAATAGAATGAGGTGAAGGGACACCTGTGATTGACGAACGTTTCTGAGTTTTGAGCGCATCCAGTTTCTTCTTGAGCGCCTTTTGGCGGCTTCTCATTTGCTCAAGAACTAGACAGCGTCAGTGGGGGTTGCTACTTATCACGACTCGAAGGGCACTCACGCTTCTGTATTGATCTTCGGTCTTCACCATCGAGACCATTGATTTCTTCAGCATCCGACTTGTGACCAGGAACATCCTCTTCCTCCTCCAAGACAGCTTGGAGCATGGTTATGGCAGTCCAGTAATTGATGTCGCAGTCGCCCAAGTTGTGACCTGTCAGCTCATCGATAGCTGCTTGGCGACTCATCTCGAGCGCACGGTCATACAGCAACTTCTCGGCCGTGACTCCAGTAGTGAGCAAAATGTTCTCTGCAGAGCCGACAGCCGTCGTCGAGCCCGACGCGGCTGATTGGTTCTGAGGATGGCTGGGGTGGTCGACTGGCAGCTGTTGCTGTGCTTGCTTAAGCTTGCGGGCAACAATCTCTGACTTGACACAGCACTCATTGAAGCGATCCCGCATCCAAGATACGACCTGGCCGAGTTTGGCATTTGTACGGCTGCTTCCATCAGACCCGCTGTTACGGCGTGTTCGATTCCAATAGCTTCCAGTCAAGTCCATGGCCTTGTTGAGCATGGCCAGCGTCTTGACGAACAGCACCAATGCTTCCTCGGAAATGAGGAGAACAATATCAGGTGTCAGATCGTCATCGTCATCATCGTATTCGATGATATCGTTGTTGGGTTTGCGAGCGACTCCTGTGGACCCGTCTCCCAGAGCTGGATCACTGGGCGCAACAGGCACCAGTTGACTGTACTTGACTTCGGCGAAACCATAGACAACGTGACTGAGTTGGGCGAGATCTTCGATCCTTCTGACTGCAAGTGTGTCCTCGTCTTTGTTGATCGTTTTGCCACCATCACCAACGAGCAGCATGCTGCTCTGCGCGGTAGGATACGCGGGGAAGGCCGAGTATCCTTGGGGCGGCGGCGATACACCTTTCATGACGGGTGGTGAAAGACCGAGTCCCCGGATATTGACCATGTTCATGGCCTTGGACAGGGCAGAAGTGGCTGTTTCAAAGCTAGGGCGGTATTGTCGTCGGCTGTATGAGCCCGTGCGTTGATGTGTGATTGTAGGTTTTTGCTGGATCTGAATAGCTTTTGAGGGCACGGCACCAGTAACAGATGTGGGCGATCCTTGGGTTGTCGATCGTCGCTTCATTGTGGCATCTCTATGCATAGGTCGATCTCGCTGTGTTTGCGGACTGTTGGCAATTTCGTCTGCGAGTGCGTCGATTTCTACGCGGCGTTTCTCCACAAATACAAACCCTTCGTCTAGGGCGTTGTCTTGGGCAGCTCGTTCAGCCGCCTCCCGCAGTACATTCGCTTCAGCTCTTTGTGGAATACGTTCCCGATCGAGATGCTCCTTGAGACCACTGGGTGCTGGCGTTTGGTCGTCGCGAGAGTACCTACGCCTGTGGCTGACGGCAGTTCCTGGCGACGACTGGTCTTGCACAGCCAGGGGGCGCCCTGGGGCTGTTGCAGCGTTCGTAAGGGTTGGCCGCCGATGTTCGCGATGTGACACGCGCTCTTCACTAGGTTCAACAGGCGTGGTGCTGGATCTCCGGGAAGAATACGGTAGTGGTGGAGTGTTTGAGTAGTTGCCAGATACAGGCCTAGAGCTCGGCCGCGAGGGTGGTGATATGCCCAGGCCTGTCCTAGGTCTGGGCGATGAGGAATATGCATTTTCTAGAGCTTGGCGGTCCATTTCAACAGGGGCTTTCTGAGCTTGTCTAGGCGGCTCAGCGGTCGGTTCGAGTGCAGAGATTTGTAGGCGTTCCGAGGCTTGCATGGATCCGGGCAGGTCTTCATCCACCATTCCGGGGATTTCGTCACGAATCACTGTATCTGCGAAGAAGGCCTCGTACGACATGCGCTCGGTTGGCTTCCGCTTCAACAATGCGCGGATCAGATTCTTCATAGCCCTGCTGCAAACCAGGCCTTCTGGAAATCGGACCTGATCTTTGCGCTCTTCGATTTTACGCAGGAGCTCAACATGGTTGTTTGCTCGGAAAGGAGGGCGAGCACACATCATCTCGAAGAGAACCGTGCCCACTGACCAGAGATCGGCTTTGGCGTCGTACTTTTCGTATCGCAGGATTTCCGGAGCCATGTAAAGCGGGGAGCCACAGAGTGTTTCGGCCAGTGAGGTTGTTGGCAGAATCCTAGCGAAGCCGAAATCAGCAATCTTGAGCATTGGGAGAGAGGCAATGCCAGTAGCCGGGATGAGCGAGTTTGCGCTAGCCGCCAAGGGCATACGTTCGAGGGTTCCGCTTTGCGAGTAAAACATGGACGAGGGATTTAGTAGTAGGTTTTGTGGTTTCAGATCCCGATGGATGTAGTTCTTGGACCTCAGGAACTCGAGGGCGCTGGCCACCTGCTTGGCGAAATGTCGAACAACGACCTCGTTCAGTCCTCCGACGGATGGGTTAGGGTACTTTTCTATCATGCGCTGCGTCTGGGGGTGGTTGACAAGGTCAGTGCGCTTCTTGATGAAGGCGGACAGGTCTCCGAGTTCGCAGAATTCCATGATGATGTGCATGCGCGAGGGCGCTTCTTGGCAGTCGATGAGGGATACTATATGCGGGTGGTGAAGACTGCGCAGGATGGTGATCTCGGACACGAGGTTGTCCTTGAGCTTCTTGTTCAGCTTGTTCATATTGACCGATTTGATGGCGACCGACTGGCGCTTTTCCTGTGCAGAGGGTCTGGTTAGCGACGGATTGCCATGACGAGCACCGAGGAGCAACAGACGTACAATGTGAATGCCGCGGTAGACTTCGGCGAAACTGCCTTTGCCAATGTGATGCATGCGCTTGAACTTGCCGATAATCTGCTCAGAGCCCGGGGCAGCCGACGACGAGGGCGATGCGCCCGATCGCCGGGGGGCATGCGATGGTGGTGGTGATGCCATGTTGGCGGCACGGGCTGTGCTGCCTGGCGCGAACTAGTTGGGACGTTGTATGCGTAGCAGTAGCGGCGGCGGCGACGGCGGCGGCGGCGGTGGTGATGATGGGGATGCTCAGGAAGCAGCTACCAGCGCAGATGCAAGTACAGGGTAGCCGTGAGCGTGTTGTACATGGGCTATCGCTGGGCGGGCGGGAGATGGGCGTGTCGTGGGCACGGGGGGGGGGGCGACGGGAAGGGGACGAGGAGGATGGATGCGGTGCTATCGATAGTGGTGACTGGGACGCGAGTCGGGACGGACGCAGGGTGGCGGGCAGAGGAGGCGACGCGAGCCACGGGGGCGGGGAGCGACAGGCACAGGCACAGGCACAGGCACAGGCCGAGACGGCGGCGGCGGAGATGCAGAGGGCGAGGGAGGCGAGGAGGGAGACGAGGGCAGGCAGAGTTGAGGGAGTTGAGGGAGTTGAGGCAGGTCGAGCAGGCAGTGTTGGTATGGCTGGATGGGCGTGGGCGTGGGCGTGGTGCTGCTAGGTAGGAGTGGGCTCGCAGTCATGGGGAGGCGTTAGCGCGCCGCTAGCGCCGCCCCGATAGACTGATAACGACGCGTGCAGGCAGCGAGTACCTCGACACCTCGACGGCCAGGCGAAACCGGCACCATGTACACTCGCACACGCACCGCCGCCAGACACAGTCTCAGACGCTGCGCCGCGCTGGTGATGCTGCTACTGCTACTGCTACTCCTACTACAAGCCCGTGCTGCCCTCGACGAGTGCGCCCGAGGCAGCGGGCAAAGGGGGGTCGACAGCCAGTCATGTGGACGAGCTCGCGGCGTGACCACGTCGCACGCCATTCGTCTGTGTGGATGCGCAAGATGCGCAAGCCGCCCGTGGTATCGTCGGGCAGCTTATCGCGAGCGGGCTCCATTGTGGTGCTGTCTGTCCTGTCTGCATGTAGCAGCCAGCAGTAGTCATAGCAGTAGGAGTAGTACCAGTACGTACATGCAAGTAGATGCGAGGCCGACTGCCACACACGGCCTACTGTGCACGTGCACGCGCACACGCACGCTGCACGCTACACGCTAATACCGGCTGGGCTTGGCTTGGCGACGGCACGCTAGCCCGCCCATCAACTGCCATGACGTAGCCCCCGGCCATGTGCTTCACCTCCTACACACACACCCACACCCACCCACGCCTACAGCCTGACCCCTCGCACAAGAACCCACAGCACCACCGGCACAATCACGTTGTCGTTGCCGCCCGTGAGCACCGCCTCGTTCAGGCTCGCTCCCGCCGCGCACATTGCTGCTTTGCCCAGCGTCACCACCGCGTCCATGATCACGGCGCCTCCAGTCGTCTGCCTGCCCCCGTCATGCCTCCATCCAAGGCACAACCACGCCTTGCTGCTCACGAGACCCACAGTCACCGCAACCGCAAACGCCAGCGACCCTTCGAGTGACTTTCCCCCTGCCCATGGCCATCGACGACGCCCGTAGCGCCGCCCGATGAGCGATGCGGCTGCATCCCCCATGCCCACGCAAACCACCCCTGACACCATGCTGACATCTGCCTTGCCCACGCCCCAGTCCTTCCATGGCTCTTCTGATATCCGCTCAACGCCAGCCAGCGACAGCCACAGCGGTATCGCGCACCCGATCAGAAGAAAGATGTGTGACACCACTACCGGTCCCCGTAGATCACGCCCGTCCACGTACGGCGTGAGGAATCTAGCAATCGGCTTCGACAGCGGTGGAAGCTGCGACGCCCGAATCAGATCCAGCAAGAGGAAAATGGCAAGTACCAGCACAAGCGCCAGTGCCACAAAACACGGGTCGACGTAGATGGTCGGCAGCAGCATGGCCACCATGGTTCCGTGGAACACTTTGCGCCGCGTGTCCACTTCCACCACAGCTGACAGTGAAAACACCGAAATCAGACCAGCCATGATAGTCGCCAGGCAGTAGACGCAGAGCACGAGCCGAGTATTGGCCTCTCCAAACATGGCCTGCCTCATGCCCTCTGCCCGTGACAAGCCTTGCATTCGTTGCGCCATTTCGTCAGCGTCCAGCCTTGGTGGTAGTGGCACCCACCCGTTCAGGTTCCATTCAAACACTTTCCATCGTACCGTTGGTATATTGCCAAAAAGGTAGCCAATGGCCCATCCAAATGGCTCATGATTGTGCAGTGCGTATTTGCCCACGGCGTAGCGGATCGGGCCCAGGATCAGTATCAAAACCACTACGTAGAAGTAGGCTGCATAGAGCCACTTCCTCATGGTTGCTTGCACAGGTGTGAGCGACAGGTACGACTGTGCTATCGATCTGGATCGCTTTCGATGCGAGTATCTGTGCTGTTCCGTGTGGCTCTCAGCTGCAACGACAGGCATCGTGTTTCTTCGTACATGTCGCGTGCCGCATGTTTCCTCTGCGTTACTATTGACTTTGCCAAAGCCCATGTTGGTTGCCTCCGTGGCCGACTGCGGCTCTGCTCTATCAGTGTGAGACAAGCCACTATTTTTGCTGGGCTGAAGCCTGTCAAGTTGGAGGCGTTCGGTCCTATTTCCACGCACGACGTCATCTTCATCGGCATCGCTGTCACTGCCTTTGCCCGCTGCGTCACCCCGGCTGCGTTTAGATCCCAAGCTCTTGTTCAGCAGCTGGACAAAGGTCTGACGAGCGCGAATCACCTGCCCAGCGCGTCTCAGCTTCCAACGAGGGATGCGTGCCAGTGTGACGCCCCACTTGAGCACGTGCCCGCAAAGTCCAAACACTCCAAGCCCACCCACCCACAGCAAGATGGCCAGTATTACTGCCTGCGGCGAGTCAGACAACAGCAGCAGGTTGATGAGCCCAATCGACAGCAAGTGCAGCTCTGCTGGCAAGAGGCTCGTTGTCGTGAGATAGTAGAGAGCAGGCAGCAGTGCCTGATGTAGGGGAAACAGGCAGACGAGAAGCTCTGGATCCATGCCCTGATGCGGAGGGGGTAGTTTGAGCTTATACGGCTTCTGTGCAGATAGTCTCGACGGTATGCTGGTGTTTTCGGCTGCAATCAGTGGCAGGATGGAGATGAACCAATGAAGCGATGAATAGCCCAAGGCGGGAGGATTGAAAGGAATGATCCTGGCGGGTAATGCAGCAAGACCAAGTAGCATGTTTGGAAGCAAAGGCTTCGGCGACGAAGCGAAAAGCGAAATGGCAATTAGTACAGGCAGCACTGGTGGGTAGAGTATAGTCGCCGGATCGAAGGCTGCTGGTATATGGATCCGACGGCAAAGCTTGAGATTCGAGTGTTTTTTCCAAGAGTAATACAGTAGGCGAAGGGGATATAGGGCGAGCAAGATAGTCATAGCACCGACATGCGTCATCAGCTCTACTGGGCTCGTGTTAGCATCCTTCAGCATGTCTCTACCATGACGCTGACCTCTGTGCCACACGAGCAATTGGCTCCAGCACTCGCATCCATGCACCGCGAGGATGCCAATACCAGCGAGTAAGGCCGTTTCCGTCGTTCGCCTTAACAATTCATTCCGCCGCCGTTGGAGGTACTTTTGCTTGGCTGCCCGTGCCTCTTCGTCTGTGTGATATATACTTCCTTTGCGCTTCTCGCGGCTCTGGCTCCCGTTGACGAAGCCGTCGGAGAACTTGCCTCCTTCGTCGTCGATTTGCGTGGGCGTGAGGAGAGGACTCGCCCACCCTCCCGTCTCTCTCGGCCGCAGACTGCGAAGGCCCTTGTGGGGGCGCAAGGGCGGCGCCGGCAGTGCTTTTACCAGGTTGCAGCCTTCGTCGTCTGCCTCTGTGCCACTCTCGCTTGGCGACTGCGATGCCAGTTCCCTCCTCTTCATACCACCCTCGCCGGGTCTTGTGTGGGAGTGGCTTCGTGGGCCCAGAGCCAGGGCGGGCGGCTGCTCTAGAGACTGCCCCTGAATCTCGTCTCCATGGCGCAAGTACGGGTGTGGCGACCGGCGGAACAGTGGAATGTCGCTCTCGTCTGCGGCCCCAAGCGCGGGCGTGGGCGAGTCTGGCTGAGTTGTTGCATCTTGCGACATTGCGCGGGGATACCGACTCTGGTCACCCTCCGCACGTTATGCGGCTGTGTAGCTGTAAAGGAACGGACAGCCCAATTGCACGTGTGCGAATGCTGTCGAGAGCGGAGCAAAGGAGGCAAAGGGGATTGCGGGTGCGAGTGTCCAAGGTCATGGCGGCCCCCATGCTGGGCTGAGCATTCTCACATGTTTGCCGCGCGGGCGCGTTGGGAAGGGCTGACGTTGCAGATCCACTGGGCCGTCTTCGGCAGGCTTCCGCCTACTGCACTGGCACTGGCACTGGCACTGGCACCGCACTTCCGAATGCCGCCTTGGGAGCGGAGCGCTTTCGCATCATTTGCACAGTGCTTGCATTGGCATTGGCATTTGCACTGGCAATCCCTGCACAACTCCTCCCCACAAGCCATGACGCAACGCGCCGTGTTACTTATCGATTAATCCGTCTAACCTCTTCACCACACACGCCCACACCCTTGGCCCCTGGTCGTCACTACATATGCAAACACCATGTTTCAAAGTATATCTGTAACCAGGGGTCCAAATTAGAGTGCTGACATCAGTACTTCTTTTATTTTTCTTCTTCTTCTTCTTCTTCTCTACCTGCTGTTGTACAGGAATCTATAGCCTCCATCGACATCTACTGCAGGTACTTGTTTTTCTCCAGCCAAGCCTTGACGTCTTCCGAGTCCCTCACCAGCCACGCAGCCTTTGCGTTGATGCTGTCAAGGCTCTGCGAGAGAGACATGTCGAAGCCCTTTGTGCTCTTGTCCTTGAAGAACCCTTCAATGTCTTCAATGTGCTCACGGTGCGTGAAACACGACGTCGTTATCGACACGACCGAGCTTAGCATGCTCAGACTCGGAGGCAGCCTGCGCTCCAGTTCTGCCCAGTTCGCCTTGACCCAGTTCCACAGCGCATGGCATCCAGCGGGATGCGTTCTCAAAGCCCCAATGGGGAGGTAGATGTCCTGGCCCTTGACCTCATCGCTGAGTGCCATGTCGAGCGTGCGCTGCATGAGCGCTGGCGACTTGGCCCGTCCCAGCGAGCGAAGTGCCGAGTTGCGCTCGTCGCTCGTCGCTGCGTTGCGAGCCTCGTTGACAATGACATTGTACTACCAGGGTCAGCGTTGGAACCTCAATCAACCCAAGCGTAGCTTACCTCTTCTTCGCCACCATTGCTCAGCACAATGGCATACACACTGCCGCGAATGTTGGGGTGGATGGCCGTCTTGTCGCCCGCCTTGAACTTGGCAAACATGTCAAACGAGGCTTTGGTGATCTTCTCGTCACCAGACATGCCGGCAGCGCCAAACATGAGGCCCTTGAACTGCTGCTCAATATGGCCGTCATTTTCGTTGAATTCCCATCCCAGCTCGTGTGCCTTTTCAGCGCTAAGGTCCAGTTGAAACTTCTTCAGAGCATCTCGAATCTTCTCGTCCTCAAACATCCACGCCCCACGGAGCACTCCGATGCGCGACATGATTTCTCCCCAGACGACAAACTCTGATTCATGCTTGAAGCTGTCAAGCAGCGACAGAATACCAGATGTCTTTTGGTAGCCAGACGCAGCCAGCGAGCCGGCGTCAGCAATCATTCCAGCCCGGTCCTCGACACTGAGGAGGCCCTCCTTGGCGGCAATCCCGAGCTTGCGTAGTCGCTCTGGCGTATACGAAGTCCGGTACAATCCAGAGTGGTCTGCATTGAGCTTGAAGAAATCCATGTCCTTGAGCTTGAAGTCGGCCTCACGGTCAAACAGGGTCAAGTCTTCATCAACACCATCCTTGGTTCGCAGGCCAAGGAAGACAGGGTACAGAGTTTGGTCCTCCTCAGGCTTGACGTCGGCGGTGCGCAGGAAGCGGTTCTGCTTAAGATGGATCGAGTCGGTGCCCTCGGTCACAGCGACTACAGGGTAGCCGACCTTTTTCGTCCAGATGTCCATGACCTTGCCCACATCCTTGCCACTGGCTTCGGTCAGCGCGGCCCAGAGATCACCCGTCTCGGTGTTTCCGTATGCGTGCTTTTTGAGGTACTGGCGAATGCCCTCCATGAAGGTATCTTCGCCCACCCACTTGGAGATCATGCGAATGACGCTAGAGCCCTTGGAGTACGAAATGGCGTCAAAGATCTGGTTGATTTCATCTGCACGCTTGACTGGCATCTCAATAGGGTGGCTGCTGCGCAGGGAGTCGAGAGAAAGTGCACTCGCAAGATTATCGGTAACATAGCCTTCCCAGACCTTCCAATCGGGATAGAAGACGTTGCAGGAGTACCACGACATCCACGTTGCGAATCCCTCGTTCAGCCACAAGCCATCCCAGAAATCCATGGTTACCAGATTGCCGAACCACTGATGTGCAAGCTCATGTTGCACAGTCTCAGCCACACGCTGCTTAGTGGCTGCGCCGCTGACCTTTTCGTCAATGAGCACATCGACAACCCGGTACGTGATGAGACCCCAGTTTTCCATAGCGCCCGCACTGAAGTCGGGGATGGCTACCATGTCCATCTTGGGCAGCGGGAAGGCACTGTCGAACGTCTTTTCGTAAAATTCGAGTGTCTTGGCCGCGAGCTCGAGCGAGAAGCGACCGTGCTCAATGTCTCTGTCCTTTGGTGCATACACACGCACGGGCACGCGGAAGTTGTTCGTCTCAATGTAGTTGAGCTCTCCGACGATAAAGCACAGTAGATATGTCGACATGAGCGGCGTGGGGTTGAAGGTAACGGCCTTTCGCTTTCCGCCCGAGACGGTGCTTTGGACCTGCTTCTCCGAGGCGACGTCCATGTTGCTCAAGCACGTCATCTTGTCGTCGGCGATGAGCGTGACGGTAAACTTGGCCTTGAGAGCCGGCTCATCGAAGCAGGGAAAGGCGCGGCGGGCATCGGTAGGCTCCATCTGCGTGGTTGCCATGTATGTCGTGGAGCCGTCGTCGGCCTTGAACGAGGAGCGGTAGAAGCCCGCCATGTTGTCATTGAGGACGCCGGAGAAGGTCATGGTGAGCTTTGCCTTGCTGCCACGGGGGATGCTCTTGTCGAAGGCGACCGTGGTCGTCTGTGCGTCTTCGTTGGCGGTGACATTGGGCGAGTCGGAGAGGACGTGCTGGTCCGCCTCGACCTTTGTGGAGTGGATCGTGAGCTCGTTCGAGTTGAGGGTTATGGACGTGGTGTCGTCGACGACGTCTAGACTGGCGGCGGGTCAGCACAGCCATGCACAGCTGGGCAGGCGGGGGCAGAGATTTCCGACGTACTCGATGACGACGGTGCCATTGTAGGTGAAGGAGTCAAAGTCGGGCTCGAGGGTCAGGTCGTAGTGTACGGGCTTGACATTGGCGGGCAGCACCTCTCTGCCCTTGGAGATGTCGACGGAGGCGTGGGCGTCGACGCCGAAGTGTTTGCACATGTTTCGTCGGTGCGAGCAATGGCGAACCGGGGCGGCAATGGGGAGTCTGAGGGGCCGGGCGGGGGACGGGCGAGGCGGCGCGTGTTGTAGGTGAGGGCGGGCAGCGGGGTATCGAGGGCTTGTCGTGGGGCTCGAGAGCGAGTGCAAGTGCGTGTGCAGCAGTAAACTCGGGCGAGGGCTCAGCCGGCGGCGCGCGACGGCTTGGGCTTGGGCGAGGGCAGGCCGCGATAACAGCGCGCGCCTGCATTGCAGGGCAGAGGCGCCATTCTGCCTGAAGCAATGCATCTAACTCTGTACGTGCTGGACAGCCGTGGTCGAGGGCGTGCTTGCGGTGAGGGCACGCTCGTTGCCATTGGCCGCGCGACGAAGTTTGTCGGGGCAGAGGCGATGGCGCCGCTAAGCCGTGCGTGCGTGCGGTACAAATATGCCGCCGCCCGCCTCTGCGTCCCTTCTCTCATACACGCGCAAAGAAGTCCTCCCAGCCACGTTCTCGCCGAGCAGCGTCGCTGAGTGTTCTGGCGCCATTGCCAGCCCTTGCTAGACAAAACCACAGCCCTCGTTTGAGCCCTTCGGCCGTCGCTTGCATCAGCCGAAGGGTATAGAAGTAGCGCTACATGATACCACATGCGTATATATTCCATGAACACGCCCTGCGCCGGCGTGCTGCTTCGTAGTGCGTGCATGCGTGTCTACGTCTTGCGCGGTGTGCGCAGCCGTTTGCGTCTGAGCCCGTGAATTGATGCCATGCCATGCAATCGTAGAGATTCGTCCATCGCACATACGCCGACACACAGACAGAGACGATGCATCGCCCAGAGCCGCGCCCGCCAGCCAATCACAGCGCCGCTCGACTTGATTAGGTCTCGCCAAGCCTCGAGCGAAGAAGTTGCGACCGAACAGCCCTCCCTCACCACTGTCACCACCGCCGACCACCCCCATTGATCCACTCCTCCTCTTGCTCGGAGCCGGCTTCACACAACCATGTTGGCTCGATCAGCACTGCGTACCGCTCGCTCCGCCGGCGCCGCGGCTCGCAATGCCACCACCAGACCAGCTTCGGTACGCCTCCCACATGGCCCAGTCTCGGCCACCTGCTCCCGCGAGCTTCATCAACGCCATCTCGGCCATTGCCCGTGTGCCCGGGCGTTTTCCCGCTGCAATTGAATGTCTGGCTGACGCATTGGGTGATGACAGCGCTTCGTCTCGACATCGGCCTCTGCCGAGGGTGCTGGCTCCTCGTGGAAGGACAACGCCCTCCCCGCCGGCGCCACCATCTTCGCCGTCGGCTCGACTGCCTGGTACTGGCACCTCTACGGACGCGATGTCGATGCCATGACGCCCGCCGAAGAAGGGTGAGTGTGCCAGCCCGCCAATTGCCTTGTGGTGGAGGAACAGGGAGAGAGAGAGAGAGAGGGAGGACATGACGTCTGCATGCACGGCAACGGCAACGACAAGACCAACACGGAACAAGAAGCTGACTGTCAAATGCATAGTCTGCACCCGACCCAGTACCCGTGGGAGCACGAAAAGTGGCACAAGACCTTCGACCACGCTGCGTACGTCTCTGCTCGCATGGCCCGCCCACAGTCGTCCTAACATGATCAACAGTCTGCGTCGTGGATTCCAGGTCTACCGCGAAGTGTGCGCATCGTGCCACTCCATCTCGCGTGTGCCCTACCGAGCGCTCGTGGGCAAGCTCATGACTGTCGACGAGGCCAAGGCTCTTGCCGAGGAGAACGAGTACGACACGGAGCCCAACGACCAGGGCGAGATTGAGAAGCGTCCTGGAAAGCTGTCTGACTACATGCCCGCGCCGTACAAGAACGACGAGGCAGCGCGTGCTGCCAACAACGGAGCGCTGCCGCCGGATCTATCGCTCATGGTCAAGGCGCGCCACGGTGGCTGCAACTACATCTTCAGCTTGTTGACTGGGTACCCAGAAGAGCCGCCTGCGGGTGCCGTTGTGCAGGAAGGCCTCAACTTCAACCCGTACTTCCCCGGCACCGGCATTGCCATGGCTCGTGTGCTGTACGACGATCTGGTCGAGTATGAGGACGGCACCAAGGCGTCGACTTCGCAGATGGCCAAGGACGTGGTCGAGTTTCTCAACTGGACCGCGGAACCCGAGATGGACGACCGCAAGAAGATGGGCTGGAAGGTGCTGGCTGTCACTAGCGTCTTGTTCGCTCTGAGTGTGTGGGTCAAGAGGTACGTGTGATGGGAGCGAGTGGCACGTGGCGAACGAGTGCTAACAACTACAACAGGTACAAGTGGGCGCCGCTCAAGAGCCGCAAGATTCTTTACCAGCCACCAGCCAACAAGAGCATCCTCGACCAGATTCCCAAGCCCAACACGTCGGGCAAGACGAACCAATAGACGGCGAGGGGCTTTGCATTCTGGGCGGGTTAGAAGAGGGAATTGCGGGAGCGTGTGTGTGTGTGTGTGTGTGTTCTATATCTTGTACAGTGCCAAGTATTTGCCAACAATAAGATTTCCTTGTCTCGTGACACGGCAGGTAGCAATTGCATACTTGTTTGTGACGGGGGGATTTGGTAGCGTCGATGTGCCCCCTTGGCGTGCTGGCTACTTTTGGCCCTTGGGCGAGGTTTGATGGCCGAAAGGATGTTTTGAGGGGGAGGGGGGGCGTTGAAGATGCAACGTCATAGAAGGGTGGTGGTGTATGTGCGTGTGTATGTGTGCATGTGTGTGTGTGTGTGTGTGTTGCATGGTCAAGGCTGGGTTCGCTTCAGCATGCGGCCAAGGTAGGCGAGAGCGGCACGCAGAGAGAGGCTGGCCAGTCGAATTGGAGGCGAGCGGTGGTTTGCTGCTGTTGTTGTAGTATACGCCAGCAGACAAGGACAGCACTCGAGGCCTCGACCCAAGACAGCACCACGGTGCACAGCTACCCAGCAGATCAACATGAGGCTGTGGTGACATGGGCAGCCAGCGCAGGCATGAGGGAAGAGGGCCCAGGCTGCACCCGTACCCAAGCACGACGCAGGTGTTCGTATAGACACAGGCAGGCCAGAGCTACACGTGGCATGGGAGTCTGGTCAGCTACGCACACCGGGGGGCGCGGCCCTGGTCGGATTGGGCTCCACGGCGGCTCCCGTCGAGCGTCTTTTTGGAGGGGCAGCGGGCGGCGCTGGATGGGTTGGGCTGTGGGCAGTGGGCGGTAAGCGACGTGGACAATGAGCATGTACCACGTATGCGACTAATGCTCCCACAGGCCCCGTTGTGCGACTGCTACGCCGCGCCGCTGAGGACAAAACAATTAAATAGCACGACAAGTGGAGCGCCCGCTGCATGTGCGCCTTGCATCTCAGCAACCATCGTGCTGTCGTCACCGCACTGCGTCGTGTTAAGATGCCCGGCTCGGCCTTGCGCCCCCCCAGCTGTCGAGGCATACTATGTCCCATCCCGCACCACCAGCCATTTCGCCCTGTCATCTGATCTGGAGAGTCTGGCGCAGGCCTTGACACGCCGTCACACGCTCCGCCTCGACCCGTCCTCGCTCTCGCTCTCGCTCCCGTGGCAGTCGCCTCGCTGTGCCACGACGGCCACGACGAACATCACCACCCACCCACAAGTCCCCGCGAACAGCCTGTTGCCCAGCGCCCAGCCCGCCGCCAATCAGCGCCCGCCCCCGGCCCTCGAACGCCGCCCCGTCAGGCATTCATCGACCACGCCAAAGACCGACACCACCCTACCACTACTACTACCTATTTTCTCCCGCCCTCCCCCTCCACCGCCACCCCCCCTCCCCACCATCTCCCTCGCGCGTGAGCGCCAACACCGACAGTTGTCTCACATCAGAGATAACGCCTGGGCAACGCCGCCCGCACGCCAGCCATAGTAGTGTGTGCGTGTGCTGTGGCCGCCTTTTTCTTGGTTAAAAAGAGCGCCGCATTGCCCCGCCCGCACTGAAAGCGGTCAGCGATAACGAGCCTCTCACACCCCCCCACCCCCCACCAAGACTTCCACCTTGCCATTGTCATCCATCAGTCCCCCCCCCCGCCTCCCCCGCGTCCGCCCCCCCCGATCTCGACTCCTGCTCACCCGCACCCCCCCATCCTGACCCGTCGCCTCGCCTCTTCGCGCACATTCGCATCCCCGGACTCGGCCATTCTCTGGTAGGAGCAGGCTCGAGTACGGCTCCTTCAGCACCGCCACCCAATGCCGTTAGTCATAGCCCATCCTCCCCATCATCGCGCTATGCCTCGTGCCCCCTCTCGACGCTCGGCCAAGTCGCGCGCTGCGTCGTCGTCGTCGCGCGCGACCCGCAGCACGGCGCCGTCGAGCGTCTCGCTCACTCCTCCCCAACGACGCTATCACGTCAAGGGCGACACTAACGTGGCAATCAGACTCCGGAAGGGAATCACTGTCAACAACCACACGGGCGCCTTTGACGACGACGACGACTTCACTGACGAGGACTCGGCCGGCATCCAGGTCGTCTCGGCCAGTGAGGAAGAGTACAGCACGGGCGAAGAGACCGAGGAAGACGACGAGGAAGAGGAAGAGGAAGACGACGACGACGACGAAGACGAAGACGACGACGACGAAGAAGAAGAGGAAGAGGAAGAGGAAGAAGGCTCCTGGGACTATATCGAGGACGAAATCAACCCTTCAGACTCTGCGTCCCGTCCACGCGCAGTAAAGCACCACTCTGCTCCACACCATCGTGCCGTCTCCCGTCGTGCCGTTGCTCACCACGCCATACACCCGCCTGCTATTGCGGCGCCGCTGCCACCACCGCCACCACCACCGTCAGCGCCACGAAGTCACCGGCCAAAACATTCTCGCATAGAGCGAGCGTCTTCGCGCCACGCTGCTCCGGTTCCGGATCCTCCCTCCCGCCCCGAGAGTCACAGCCGCAGCCGCAGCCGAAGCAAACTGGAGCGCCCACGCAGGCCGCGACGGCAAAGGCCTCAATCCGTCCACCAGGAGCCTCTCGAAGTCGAGGACGACGATGACTACCCGTATGACGCCCCCCCTCGACCAGGCCCACCCCACGGCCACCCAAGCGCTGGCTGGGGCCACATACCCCAGCATCCCACCAACGGCTTTGCGCCTAGCATGATCTCCGACCCGCGGTATCAATACGGATTCTCAGGCGGCTCGCAATCCCCTGCAGGCCAACTGGTTCCTTTTGCGCATGACTCCCATGCTGCCTATGCACAAAACCCTTTTGCACCCAATGGACAGAACCCCTTCACCCAAGGTCCCCCCTCTGCAGCGGATCCACGGGGCGGCTACTTCCCCGAGTATCAGGATCCTCGTCCCCAAGAACATCGCCCGGGACGCAAAGGCCATCGCAACTCCATGCCAGCAGCACCACCGCCAGGAGAAATGATGAACTTCTCGCCATTGGGCTACTATCCACCCTACGGTTCTCAACAGTATGGCATGCCGCCGCAGATGTATTCGCCCTACGGACACCCTCCACATCCATCCCCGCCCCCACAGTATCCCCCCTCAAAACGGCAGACACCAAATCCTCAACATGAAGAGGAGCGTCACGCCTCTCCACCTGTCCATACACCTGCTCATACGCCTGCTCCTCCCCCACCACCGGCACCGGCACCACCACCACCGCCGCCACCAGTGGTAGCAACGCCACCACCACCACCACCGCCACCACCACCGCCAGCCCCGGAGACTCCAGCCATGCACATGCAGCTGCAAACTTTGCAGCAGCCAATACATCCGGCCCTGGCACAGATGCCGCAATTTCAACACCTACAACAACTGGAGCAGATGCAGCAACTCGTTCAGCTGCAGCAGCAGTTGATGCCTCTACCCCCGCCTCCGCCTCCGCCTCCAGCCCCAGCGGAGCCAGATCTGAAAGAGGAGAGCATGCTCTCAAAGCTCGAGAAGCTATTGCTTCATAAAGCTGAAGAGGAGGAGAAGGCGGAGCAGCAGGCTAGGAGAGATGCCGAACTCGCCAAGTTTACCCGTCTCGAGAACTTGCTCATTGCACAGCAGGAAGCGAAGATTGAGAAAGAAAGACTGAAAAAGGAAGCTGCTGAAAAAGCTGCCATAGCCGCCGAAGAGGCCAAGAAGAAAGGCGACGAGGACAAACTCGCCAAACTTGAACAGCTCATTCTTGCTCAGAAAGATGAGCAGTTAAAGCGCGAGGCAGCCGCAGATGCCGCCCGTGCGGCGGAGAAGGCCGCGGCAGATGCAGAGGCTGCTAGGATTGCAGAAGAGAAGCAGGCTGCAGCCGAGTCCGCAAAGAAAATGCTCGAGGCGGCTCAGAAGGCGCGAGAGGAGGCAGAGGCAAAGGCGGCCGCTGAAGCCGAAGAAACCAAGAAGGCTCACGAGGCAGCCCTTGCCGAGGCCAAGGCGGCTGCAGAGGAACTGGAAAAGGCCAAGCAAGCTGAAGCCGAAGAGATCAAGAAGGCTCACGAAGCAGCCCTTGCCGAGGCCAAGGCTGCTGCAGAGGAACTGGAAAAGGCCAAGAAAGCTGCTGAAGAGGAGGCTGCTGCTCTCAAACCATCGGATGCGCCAAAGCTCCCCATCAAATTCAAAGATGCCGTCGGACGCAAGTTCAGCTTTCCATGGCATCTGTGCAATACATGGAAGGTAAGCATACGATTACTGCACGACATCAAGTGCCTACTAAATGTGAGACCAGGGTATGGAGGAACTCATCAAGCAAGCATTCCTACACGTCGACGTCATTGGGCCCCATGTGCACGAGGGCCATTATGATCTTGTGGGACCAGACGGCGAAATCATCCTACCTCAAGTCTGGGAGACCATGGTTCAACCGGACTGGGCCATTACCATGCACATGTGGCCCATGCCAGAGCCGCCGCCACCTCCGCCACCAGAACCACCCAAAGAAGAAGCTCTTCCTCCACCACCTCCGCCGCCGCCGCCGGATGCACAGGTGTTCCTAGCCTCGGATCTGCCCCTCAAGGGTAAAGGTAAGAAGGACAAGGGCGGGAAACGCGCATCTGTGTCCCACGCTCATGTTGTACAAGTTCCTCCACCTCCACCGGCTGACGGCCAACCCGCGGTTATTGTTGTGCCTAGTGGCAGTGGCCATTCCGGAAGCTCGTCGCGGAAAAAGCCTAACCCGTCACCATTTTTCCGATGGGCTGCTGGAAGTGCCGGCAAGCGCAGGAAGTAAGGGCAGGATGAGTGTAAATTCGCTTCCAAGGGATTTGGCGTTGCTTCATGTCTACTTTTAATGTGGATTGCAGAGGGCAAACCATTTGCGAAGATACCATCCTGTTGTACTTTAATGTTTTCACGTTTATGCTCTAATACATTCCAATGACACGCTATTGTTGCCTTGCAAGCAAGCAATCTCTGATTTGATTCGTCTACCCAATTGCTATTGGCCCCCCCACGTCAAGTGACGGGGTCCTGTGTCGCATCAACCCTGCACCCACCTAGACCTCTGCTGTGAAATCCTTGCGGATGGTAAGATCCTCAAAGTTGTCCTGGTTCTCAATGACAAGCCCCTGCTCATTGGCAAGATGCAGCAAGCAAATGAAGCAATAGCTGGTTGAAATGTCGGCCATGGTCTGCTTGGGATAGACGGTTTGGAGGCTATTGACCACCTTGGTGAATGTCAGGGAGCCATCTACTGCCTTGTTTGCTGCGTCATCGGCAGCATCAGGTACAGGAGGAGCGGAAATCTACATGCTTGTAGTAAGTATCTCTCCTCGACTGGTAGTAGTAGCCCATGATGGCCACAAGCACTTACGCCTTCAAAGCCAATGCCCTTCCACAGCTCATCCTTCAATCGCTTTACATCCACCTTCTTGGCCACCCGGGCGTACTGGACGTACTCTGGGCGGAATCTCCGGCTCTGTGTTACTAACTGCGCGCCATACGCGTCAGCCTGTGAGCCCGGCATGGCCCCATCCAGTGCTTGTGTGGCGTTGGGGGCCTCGGGCGCTGGTGAGAAATGCTCGCGAGCATCCGCAAAGTCATCGTCGTCGTCAATCGGTCCACCAGGCATCGGTAGGCCATCGTCTTGGAAGAAGTCAGCATCGTAGTTGCCCTGTGCCGCCCCGTCTTCGGCATCGTTGCCCTGGTTAGCCCAGTACGCTTCGTCGACGTGGCCGTGTACAGGCTCATTGGATGGAGCCTGCATTCGCCGGCCTTCTTTCCGCGATCCCATGCGTGCTTTTGGTTTTAGGAACAAGCGAAGTAACTGCCTAGAATTGAAATGCTTGTCATCTGGTAGGAGATTCCGAGACTTGGATTTCCATTGTGCTTTTGGCAAGGATATGGTGGAGTTTGACGTTGCAGGCGTGTAGAGCATGTCTGCCAATGACTGGGACATGGGTGCCGTGAAGTCCACCTCAAAGGGTTCTTTCTCCTTTCTCTTCACGGCTGGAGCCGCTTTGCCAATGTGCTTGACTCGCGATATTCGCCAATGCTCTGGTCCTGCCCAACTCTTTTTGAGGGCTTGGTCAAAATAGCTCAAGATGTTTTCTTGTTCTTGATCGCGACCGTGTACCATTGAAACACCGTATTGCGCGTCGGTACTGACGGCGCCTTCGGCACCTTCTGCGTCTTCATCATTGTCTTGGATGCCCATGGTATGGACACGGGCCTGTGGGTCCCGAATAGCTTCGCGAGCCCAAACCTCGCCACCTTCGCCAAAGCCAGTCTCCGGAGGTAAGTCAAAGCCGCCCATATTTACGTCGTCATCATCGAAGCCCATTGGATTTTCATCGTCAAGGAAGAGGCCAGATCGATTACCTGGATCTTCTTCATCTTCTTCTTTCTTCTCGTTGACACCATCCCGCCAGTCATCGGGAGCCTTGAGGAAGGGAAGGTCCATTGAGCCATTAACATCGCCGAGGTCGAAGGTTTTCATTGAAGGGCATACATCCTGCTCGTCAAGGTGAGATAAATTGGGAAAGTACTTGGCAGCCAGTGCTGATATGTTGATGTCAATATCGTCGGATGACTGCATGCCTTGTGGCTGCTGGCTTGGTTGCTCAAGGCCCAGATCTGGACGCGCGTCTTCTGCAGTTGCATCGCCTGCATCGTCGCTGCTATCAAAGACAATCCTGCCTTTTCCGTCAATGGCCAGATGGTTGAGTAGCAGGCCTTTTGCACCCCCCTCATCGAAGTCGGCAGATGCCTTCTTGAACAGCGGGTCCACAGAGAATTCAAGCTCCATCTTCTTGTTTTGCAGCTGAGCAAAAGACGACGCAAGAGTAGCCTCAGCAGAGCGTGCAGCTCTCTTCTTGCGCTTCTTCTGGCCATCCTCACCATCCTCGGCATCGCCGTCATCGTCATCACCCTCTTCACCGTCTTCGGCATCCCCACGACGCCTTCTATTTGCATTTTCGGCAAGTCCACTCAGGAGTTTGCCCGTGTCAGTGGCAACGCTGTCGACTCTGCTCGTGTAGATTTTGACACATCCGTCAAGGGTGCAACTCGCCTTCTGGAAGTTGACGCCATCGCCTTCCTTGAGGAGTGACATTTCGTGAAAATAGTCAATCAGGGCAAAGTTCCATGAGTTGTTGGCGTTGATTTTCTGTCGCGGCGGATTAGCACGCGGATGCCAAATGCCATGTCATGCCTACATTGTCCGTGGCCATTTTCATCCACTCTTCAAAGTTTGCCAGCAGCGGCATTACACGCTTTCCAGGCGTCACAGCCGTCCCTGTGACATCGGGCATGCCATCGCGGTTCTGTGAGGGAGTGTGGGGACTGTCTTGGCCAGCTGCGAGCGACATTCGCTTCCGGGCGGGCGTCGCCGTTGAAGCCCGCAGCGAGTTGCGCTGGGCTTCTTGTTGCGCATGGCGGCGATTGGCCTTTTCCCGGCGGTCATCGTTGAGGGGTACTCTATGCGAGTTAGCCGAGAGCATGGGCGTGACGTGTGCGAGGGGCATGGCCTACTTGATGGGCGTCTTCTGCGGCGAGGCAGCCGTGGTGTACTTTGTGGCGCGCGGCATTGTCAGGATGCGTGGCGGGCCTCTGGAGTCGGCGGTGAGAAAGCTCGGCTGCGAGTGTCATGCAGCGTGGGGATCGTGGGGCCTGTCGTAGTCGTAGTCGTCGTCGTCGTCGCCGCCAGAGGACGTGATAATAGAGTTGGCGGTCTTGTTTGTCAACACACCGGGTCCAAGCGCCCACGCCTGCAGCCACGCGACGCGGGGGCGGGTAGGCTTGGCGTCACCGCACCGCACCGCCACGCACAGTCAGCGCCACGCACACCGCCACGCACACCGCCACCCGTGGCAACAACAGCGCAGTGACGACGCCAGTGCCAGCTTCACCACGTCGTTGCGCTTCGGGCCTGCTGCCCTTGGCGCCTCACCCGTCGCCCTCGCCCTCGCCCTCGCCTTCGCCTGCCCTTCATATATCGCGCATCCTCGCCCGCTCGCCCGCTCACCCGCTCACCCTTCCACGCCCTCGCCGCCCGCCGCTCCGCCAACCTTCGCGCCTATCACACCCCAGGCGACAGCACCGCCTGCGCTCGATCAAACGGCTCGCGCTCCGTCCTCCGCTGCCCTGTGACGCTGGCGCAAACCATCCACCCAAGCCTTCAAATTCGTTGCCTTGCCCGCTGCGACCGCGTCAAGAACATGTTGTGACAATGCATCCCGACACCCTACTCAGAGCAGCGCAGCGCTGGCGCCGCCCGCGCTACTCGGCACGACCTTTTGCCCTCACTATCCTTGCCATTGCCCTCATCTCGCTGCTGGCATGGGCCAAGACGCAGGCTGCTCCCAACCCCGCGTCGCCTGGCCCGCTGCGCAAGAGGGAGGTGCCTGTTTTGGATCAAGAAGTAGGTGGCGACTCGGCGCCCGCCCGCCTCTGCACACAGCATGCTGACTGCTGCCCAGTGTCGCCTGGTACATCACGCCCAAGATCAATGCGCTTTTGTCCGTGCAAACTGTCCCGATGAAGAAGCCGGCGTCATCTCGTATCTCACCTTCTACTACTGTCGCCTGTCCCATGCAAGGCCTGTCGCCTTCATCCTCATGACGCTCTGGCTCGCTCTCCTCTTCAGCACCATTGGTATCGCTGCCAGCGACTTTTTCTGCGTCAACCTCAATACCATTGCCCGCATGCTAGGAATGAGCGAAAGTCTCGCTGGCGTGACACTGCTCGCCTTTGGCAATGGCAGCCCAGACGTATTCTCCACCTTTGCCGCCTTCCGCACTCACGCAGCGAGCTTGGCTGTCGGCGAGCTCATTGGTGCTGCGTGTTTCATCACCGCCGTTGTGTCTGGCTCCATGGCCCTCATCCGCCCCTTTCAAGTCGCGCGCAAGAGCTTTGTGCGGGATGTCGGCTTCTTCCTTGTCGCAGCAGCGTTTAGCATGGGCTTCGTTGTTGACGGCAAACTGCATCTCTGGGAGGCCATATCCATGGTTGTCTTCTACCTCTTTTACGTCCTGTTCGTTGTTGGTTGGCACTGGTGGCTCAACCTGAGGAAGACGCGGCGGGCCCGCGCAGTTACCATGAGGAATCATTATGTCACGCCTGGCGGTGAAGAGGAAGAAGTCCCAGAGTACCACGACGAAGAAACAACTGCGAACAGCGGAAATTCGAGTCGCGGCATATCCGTCGATGACTTTTCTATGCTGGAACACAACGGCGGGGATGAGGGCATGATCGACGACGACGACAATGAAGAAGCACGCGAACGGTGGATGGGCGAGCTGACCAACAACATGCGCCTCAACCGCCCCAGTATGTCACGCCGCAACACGCACACGCCCATTCGTCCCAGCTTGGTAGGAGCCCTTGAGTTTAGGGCTGTGCTGTCCTCGCTACAAAAGTCGCGAAACATCCAATCAATGCCCATCAACCTTCGTCGTTACTCCGACGATCCCACCTATACAGCCGCCCAACAACAGAGCCATGTCTCAAATGCCGCGGGCCCGGCTCTTGGACTCCCATTTGACACCCAATCGACTCCTTCCAACGCCTTTTTACAAGTAGGCCGACCCGGTCGCGACGTTCAATATGGCCCGGGTAATCGAGTTCGGGCTGTATCAACAAATGACATGGACAACGTGCAGTTGCAACCCAGCACCCTTCAGGGACAGCGTGTGCCCGACATAACACTTGCATCTGCGACCCCTACAGAGCAAAGTGGGCTACTCAACGCACCCCTATCGCCCACAATCTCCTTATCCCCACCAACCTCTCCATGCTCGCCTAGTCCCAACCCGACAGCATTCCAGACAAGGCTCTCCTCACCCAACAGGCTTGCACCACCTGGTGGCGACGATAGATTATCAGCCCACCAGAGCACTTCATCGCCAAGCCCTTTATCCTCCCCTGTAATAGAGGCCAACGAACACCGATCACCTCCTAGTCTGCGACTGGTTGTGCCTGGCGCCAGTTCGCCCCCAATTCCTTTCCCCGCTTACACCGACTATCCCTGGTCGGCGCAATCTGCCTCTGGGGCCCAGAGCCTACGACTGCCGTCTCCGAGTGCATCTCCTGAGTCGTCTTACTTTGGCAAAAGTCCGTTTGGTCTGTTCGATCAAACCAGAACACCTAGATGGTGGCCATCCAATCTTCTACCGGCGCCCTATATCCTTATCACCACACTGTTTCCGACGCTGACCAACTGGCGGAGCAAGTCCCTCTTTGACAAAATCTTGGGATTGGTGGCCAGCTTACCAGTCTTCTTACTCACAATCACGCTACCCGTGGTCGAGCCGCAAAAAGACGAAGAAGTCAACCACCCTGAAGGTTCGCATGACTTTGGTCTACCGGCCTCGCCATCAACACACTTGACAAACATCGACTCTTATACGCCCACTGGTCCTATCATGCTACCACAAGAAAGGCCCGAGGATGCCAGTGTCTCCAAGGCCAATACCCATTTCCATTTGCCCCCTCCGCAGAATAATGGTAATTCTTTCAGCGCAACAACTAGCCACCCGCCTCAAGTATGCATCACAAGCGCCGAAACTGTCACGCGTTCACCCGAGCAAATTTCTATAGTCGCTGCGATTCCTGAACCAGATCACTGGAATCGTTGGTTGGTTATCGTGCAAATCTTCACTGCGCCATTCTTCATCGTCCTTATTTTTTGGGCAAATCTGGAACCCGACAACCCTCGTGCCCTGCTACGCCATACACTCTACTCGCTCATCACGTCACTATGCGTTTTAGCGTTCATTCTTTTAACCACTTCTCCAAATCGACCACCCCACTGGCGCTCGGCACTTTGCTTCCTTGGCTTCGCCGTCGCCATTGCATGGATCAGTACTATAGCCAATGAGGTTGTCGGCGTGCTGCGCACACTGGGTGTCATTCTCAACATGTCTGATGCGATTCTTGGTCTGACCATCTTCGCTGTTGGCAATTCTCTGGGTGATTTAGTGGCGGACATCACGGTCGCACGCCTTGGTTTCCCAATCATGGCGCTTTCGGCCTGCTTTGGCGGTCCCATGCTCAACATATTGCTTGGTGTTGGCCTTAGCGGATGTTATATGATAATTTCCAAAGGCGAGCATCGGCATACAAAACACCCAGATCAGTCGATGCATTTCAGACCTTATCACATAGCCGTTAGCACGACACTAGTCATATCCGGGGCTACCTTACTTCTCACATTAGCGGGTCTACTCATCAGTGTACCGATGCGGAAATGGAAGATGGATAAGGTTGTTGGTTGGGGTCTTGTAGCGCTTTGGTCTATTAGTACACTCGTCAGTGTTCTAGTTGAGATACTAGGCTATAGTAGTAATGTGGCTTAGAACATCACATTGTAGTGGAGCAACTAGGAGGTATATCCTAGTAGCTGAAAGGTAGTCAGACAGCGCCAGGAGACAGGTATAAAACTAGGGAGTGGAGGAAATAGTACAAAAAAAAAGAAAAACATCAACACAAAAAATTATACAATTACATTCTTTAAATACCTATTAGAATACAGGCCTATATACTATAGTAGTAGTTAGAATAACTATTAGACTAACGTGTTTCACCAGTAAGCGGGCCACCCCAGTATGTGGGCCACCTCCCCAAACTATTACATCTTTGTAATAGTATTGCGCAACACCACCACAATATTTTTTATTAAGTAGAATAAGATATTATTCTTCAGACCCATTGCTATCCTCTGTATCCTCTAATTCTACTTGACAAGTGCGAGAGTTGTGTCCAATTTGGCTGCAACGCCCGCAGCGCCGTTCACTACGCACCCTCTTCGCAGACGTTGCACCATTATTATAGCTACCACCCTCTGCCTTAGCGATCTAATTAGCTATTTGGCTAACTGTCTAGGACCCCTCTGCCTGTACGTAGCGCCTCTTACGAGTTTTTCGCTTCGTTACTTTAGTAATCGTAGCTTCAAGGCAATTAAGTTTCTCCTGCATTAACACTATATTATAAGCTATCTACTAAGCTCCCTTACTTAACTGCTGTATCTGCTCCTTAAGAGAACTTGTAGGAGACCCTTGCTGGATTTGCATACGGTTTCGAATAAGCGTAGCCTGCGCCTCCATTTCGCGCGCGTTGCGCGGCGTTTTCGGCTCCCAAGCAGTAGTCTCTTGCGCTGGTGGAGTTGGCGTACGCAGCATGACGTTAAGCTGTGATAAAACAACGTTATAATCGTGCGGTGAAAGTCCAGCACCTTAGAACCCTCCGCGGATATTTTCTAGTGTAATAGCCTTATAATAGGCCTTTTTAAACGCTAGTAGGAAGGTTTCTTTGCTAATATAGTAGATGCGATTGCGTGCTAAGACCAAGATAGCATCACCATACGCGCGCTTTAACGGCGAGAAGCAGCCCACATCAAGAGGCTGTAAGAGGTGCTACGAGTGGGGAGGCATACAGAGGAGGATTATCTTCATCTCTTCGCAGAGATCTCGGAAATCCACCGAGCAGTGGCTCTCATGGCCGTCAATAATAAGCAGCCTATGCGTCCCCACAGGCCGCGCATAGGAATCAAAGTGACGAAGCTAGTCAAGCGCTAGATCGTTGTTCGTCTAGCTAGTAGGACTAACTTGGATCACCTAGTCGCGTGGCAGATCCTTCGTGGACTAGGTAGAGATCAGAACCTTGCTAGCAAAGATAAGAAACGCTAGGATACGCGTGCCTATTGCGCTAACGCCTTGTATTAGCGTAACCCACTCACGATTGCCTAGCTAGATCTTCTTTATTCTCCCTAGTTTGTCTAAGCCTGTGATAACTAACTGTAATAAAATCTTGCCTATAATAAAGCTAGTCTTATTAAAGTTATAGATATCTTCGTCTACAATACTATACTTTACCTTTATATTCTAAACTAGCTCAAACTAGCCCTTAATAAGCGCTAGGTCTTCGCAGAGAGCTCGCTAGTGATCGTATGGACGGCTCCGGCGCGTACGCAGCTCAGGATTGCGCTAGACAAACCTATCAACCCAGTTCTTGCCCACCTCCTTCCCGCCACGCTCTCGGAGCAGTCTGTTAGCCATATCTCGCACGTCGTCTTTCCCACAGGGTAGTCCTCGCTCAGCCTCGACTATTACACGCATAGTAATAGCCTTCTCTTCTAGTTTTGTTAGGCGCCTTACTAGTGGCTCCTAATCGCTTCGAGGGCGCTGTCTAGCTCGTCAACGCTAGATTGTTGTTCGTGGGACGCTATAGGCGGCAGCAGCGCGTCGTTTACTCTAAATTTGTTTAGAATTAAGATTAGTAATAGTAAGAAATAGATCTGCTTTAGTATAAGCTTTTAACGCGTTGCGTTGTTAAGACATTACGCGTTGTTATTGCAAAGGTGGGATATCATAGGGAAGTGGCCCACATACTGGGGTGGCCCGCTTACTGGTGAAACACGTTACTTATAATAGAACCTATATAGCTATAGAGCACCTACGCAGCTAGAGGTATTATTATTATTGTTCCATTAGAGTCTAGTGAGCTCGAGGCTATGTAAGACTTTGGCCGAGGCCGTTCTAACTAGATTTATTTACAAATACGAGTTTGTGCTTAAAGTGTGTCTGTGGTGCTTCGGCCTTTGTCTAGGTAAGCGATAGCTATCGCTTACTAGACGCCTAGTGCTAAAGAGCATTTTGATAACAGAAAGAGATGTTAGAAAGCAAAGCAATCCTCCAGCGGGCTCTTTTTGTAACGGCGCAGGTAAGGCAGGTCGGATCTGTTTCGGTCGTAGGATCACTCAGAGGCATATGGGAGTGCGTGGGATCACAAAGAGCCTAGATTCAACAAGCCACCTATAGGCCTTGTACGAAAGGATATCAAAAGTCTACAGAGCTAGCTACAGGGAGTGTCTCAATATATACCTATCCTAGTCAGGTCCGAATTCGGATCCGACCTCGGGCGAATGGCTGATGAAGGGCGGCAGGTACTTCCTCCGATCCGGCTCTGGGATTGGCTCAATACTTGGCGAAGTTGTAACATCGTTACACTACCCCCCTCTCAGTAGACAGCTAGTCCCATAGCTGTGAGACTCTCTTATGCCTTTTTGTTGCAGTTCCCCCGCGCTGTTGCGGGTGAACTGTTTCGGGTGTCCTTCGGCTTGGTCACATACCCAAAAAATCTTTTTCTTTTCTTTCCCTACACTCGATCGTCTTGTAGTGACGTCATGTCATCTATGCCCTTCTCCCACGCTTGGATCCACTGGCTAAGGGCCCGAGGGGGTCCC